TTTTTAAAGCAAAAAATGAGCTTTTCATTCATTAGAATTTACTACATTCACATGGATAATTAAAATGATTTCAAATAGATGTAAATTGAAAAGATGACTTAAGCTAAGTTTTCATGGAGATTATTTTCACTTGTCAACTTTTCCAGCAAATTAATTAGCTACCCTCCTACTCACATCCAAATAAAGAAAAAGATGTAATTTAAATGTATTCACTTTGTTCATCATTTAACTCAGTGCAGGGAAAAAACAAAACAAAAAAAGCAGTTATTCAGTGCCAGGCAGAGAGATCAGTGTTGAAAGCAGCTAAAATAGGTCTCTAATTTGATTTATCTCTTGGGATCTAAAATTCCTATTTTAGAGAGATTCCTGTTTATAAAAATTCCTATTAAAAAAAAACATGGTATTTGCATTTTATGAGAAGTCTGACTGTTAGAGTGGAGTAAGGATCCAAATCTCTGAGATTAAAAATCCCCATAAAATGCTGGTTATTAAATCTCAATGTTGTTTGAGTTAGTAGGCTTGGGTATTATTGGAAGGTTTCCCGTGTAGATTTGAGTTTCACTGAAGCACAAATTTCTGTGAAAATGTGGACAGTACATGATGGCTGGACACGTGTGCGCACAGGCAGAGGGTGGCATTTGGTAGGTTGTATGTTTAGATTGCCTGAAAACTTTGTGTTACAGATTGGAGATGAGGACACATTACTCTCTCTTGTCCTTGAGAACATGATGAGGCAGATGCTTTGAGTTAGGTAGCTTCTAGAAGATTTGTTAACCCTGGTTTCAGCAAGGCCTTACTCAGTGGCTACTTCAGTAGCTTCCTTTTCAGCAGTTCTGCCCTGCAAGAGAACAGATTATTTATTAACGGGCTGTCTCAGAGTGCAGGGATCAGTTAAAACAATGATGTTAGATTTTTCTAAACAAATCCAAAGCCCTATATTTCAGACTTTCTAATATTCTTTACTAAGTTATTTCCAAATTAGTTATTTCATTTTATTTTTTTTTTAAAGAGAGAGTGAGAGAGGGAGAGAGAGAGAGAGAATTTTAATATTTATTTTTTAGTTATCGACGGACACAACACCATTGTTCGTATGTGGTGCTGAGCCACATCCCCAGCCCCAAATTAGTTATTTTAAAACATGAATTTTAAGCTGATGAAATAGACTCTTAAAAAATGTTGTCTAAAAAAGTACCCAAGTTCATTATTTTGCTCTGAATCACTTATTTAATTGTGGTATTTTTTTTCTCCCCTAAAAGACTCTAGACTTAGATTCAGAAGTGTTGCTTTGGATCTTGGTTGTGCTATCAATCAGATGTGTAACTTTGAGCAAGTTATAGAACCTAGTCTTATTTATTTCCTCAAAGGATGGGGTAGTCATAATACCAGGGTTAATGTGATATTAAATGAAATTATATATATATATATATGAAAGTTCTTTACTTTGATGTGATCCATAAATATAATGAACATGATGATAATAAACTAGTTTAATTGACATTTCATCCAGTTAAGATAATTACTATTTAGTAGCACTATCTCTAGATGTTGTCTAGCCACTATGGATGAGACTTATGTAAGAGAATATTTTGAAATGTTTTTTAATGTGTTTTATGGATGTCTTATCTCTCTGTATTTTATTCAGTGAATTCCTTAGAGAAAAAGAATCTACTGAGGTGGACTGCTGTTCTACTTCTCTTACATTGTGGATGCACAGATTTGGTGTTATACTAACGACTCATGATCAGCCAATGCTTACATAGGGCTAAAGACATGCCACATACAACCTTCAGGACTATTTAATATTAACCTAAGTGATCTTCCCAATAACCCCAGAAAGTGGGTACTATTGTTAACCCTTGTGTAGAGGTGGAGAAATAGGACCAGAGAAATAAACTTAATGTTTAGGATTGCATAGTCAGTGTTACCAGTCAAATTTAATTTCCTTTACCCTCTATTCAGCTTTTATGAGTGATTATGCAAAACTAATATATCAGGATAAAGTAAGTTCTGAATATTGCTTGGAGATGAACAATAAGAAATGACATCTCATCTTGGAAAAATTATAGTGCCTGTCTGAATGTTGGGATGACACAGAGCTTGTTTCTTATTTTCCTTAAGTTTTTTTCTTTTTAAATCTCCAGTGCCTATTACTGGATAAATTTATTGTATATAAATCATTGACTAAGGATGTTTCTCTCTCCTGAGTCCAAGGTATAATAATGGGTTGCTAAACTTGTCAGAGAGTCCAACTCTTCTCAATCCTGTGCTATGTATGAAATCATCTGAAGAAAGATCCAGAAGCCCCATCCAAAGAGACGTTCCAGATTTTATGCACTATTCAGCCTTTTTACAAGCTTAGAATTTATTTGACCTGGTTTCAAATGCTGCACATAGTCATTCTTTAATGTAGGCATGTTTTCATTCATTTAAGCTACTATCTTATTTGTTTATAAATTTAATAGATTTTACTGAGGTTCTCTCATGTTCCTTGGCTACTGTGGGGTGTTGGGAATAGGGTAGTGAATGTAACAGGTTTGTCCCTTTATTGAGCTAATGGGAGAAGACGGACAGTAAGCAAACAATCTCACAAATAGAAGTAACACAGCTGCTCTGAAGAGTACTGTAATGGTGTGGAACGTGGTGCTCCAGGGATAGATAAGAGAAGGTGATGATCATAATTTGTTTTCTCTTTTCTGTCTTTGGCCCAGTATAAGATATCTGAGCCTTAGGAGGAACAGTGGGAGGGCAAGTTAGAGCGGGTGGGGAGCCAAGGTGGCAAGACAAAGAAGAGGTGAATCCAATGGCCACAGAGAGAAGAAAGAAAAACTAACCTCAGCAGCCTACCAGCTCTCAGTCCTTGAGAATATCAGAAGCATCAGAAATACTTGTCGTAACTGCCATTTTGAAGAAAAGCTGCTATGTAGGCATTCTACTCAATTTAGTTAAAGGAAGAAAACAATATATTTAAAGCCTTTTTCTGTTAACATGGTTAAAGGGTTTTACTTTTGAGAGGTTGTCTTTCATGTTTTTTAAAATTTTTTTAAATTCTTATTTTTTAGTTGTAACTGGACACAATATCTTTATTTTATTTATTTTTATGTGGTGCTGAGGATCGAACCCAGGGCCTCGCACATGCTAGGCAAGCACTCTACCACTGAGCCACAACCCCAGCCCCATCTGGCAGTTTTAATGCAGCTTATTTATCTGGACTATTGTTTGGACAAAGTTGCTGCCTTCATCTATGCAAACATTTTTAAACAGCATGAATATTAATGCAGAAGCATCTCTGGATGGGAAGACGGCTGACCTTGATTTTTGGTTCCAGCTGCTGCCCGGGCCATGGGTAAATAATAGAGAATATCCTCGATGTTCTTGTTAGTGAAAATGCTATGACAATGTTTCCCTTCTGTCTCAGAAGTTTCTTTTATATAAATATATATTCATTTGATTAATATTCATTGCAAGTTTACCCTGTTGTTGTTTTAGTTAGCGTTTTCATCACTGTGACCAAAAGACTTGACAAGAACAATTTTTGAGGAGGAAGAGTTTATTTGGGGCTCACAGTTTTAGAAGTCTCAGTCCATAGGTGGCTGACTGTGTTCCTTAGGGCCTAGAGTGAGGTGGAACATCCTGGGGGAAGAAAGTCAGGAGAAAAGCAGCTCAGGACTTCACACCAGGAGGCAGAGAGAGTGAGACAGCTCTGCTCTCCAGGACAAATCACATACCCTAAGGCCACATCCCCAGGGACCCACCTCCTCCAGCTGTAGCCTACCTGCAGACTGTCACAATTCAGTTAATTCCTATCAGGGGATTAATGTCTTTATTAGGTTAAGGCTCTCATAACCCAGTCATTTCATCTCTAAATTTTCTTGCATTGTCTAACTCATGAGCTTTTGGGGAACACCTTATATCTAAAGCATATCACCTGTACACTGAGAACAAAGTGATGAGCAACAGAGACGTGGCCCTTGGCCTCATGGGACATGCAGTTCAGTGGGAGAGACCCAGCTCTCATTTAGTGAGGCTTTAATTTTGAGGACCCTTAGCCTACAATGTTGTTCCCCTAGTGTGTTGATGACATGCTCCATCTCTTCATCTGGATCCCTGCACAAACATCACCTCTTTGGATAACCACCCAATGTGCCCAACCATTCTTGTCCCTCTCTATCCCTTGCTTTACTCCCCCCCCACACTTTTTATCATCATCTGTAATTATGTTTAATATTGGTTTAGGTCTGAGACTGAAGTGTAAACCTGCACAGGGAGCGTCTTTCCCACTAGTACGGTATGTTACTATTTAGAATAGTGCTTGGCACACACGGGCATTCAGTAAATATTTACTGAATGAATGAGTAAATGAGATGATCACTGAAGCATATAATTACCAACCATGATAAACAAACGGGATAAATGGAAGTACTTTCAGTACTATAAATATTCTACACACGCAAGGTGATAATGTTTATTTGAATTTGAGGAAAAGTACAATCTGCCTTAAGATAACCTGTTTGACTTTTGTGTTTTTAGCTTTCTCTTCGACCATTGATTTCCTAAGAGTTTCTCTTTTCTTTGTTTCCATGGTTTGTAATATTGAGCTCTCCCTTTATGGAGTATACCTTCTCCCATCCAGTTCTATTACTACGTGGAGTTTCTTAACTTGGGTCAGTGAACCTTTGTGAAATCCACTAGTGACTTCCCCAGGCTCTTTGTGATCGTGAAATTGGATGTGGTATATGGCAAGACCCGTGTGCATTATATATAACACCTAGAGTTTAAAAATCATTGCTCTAAATTTTTGTGTTTTTCTTTTCCTTTTTGTTGCACCCTTGGCATTTCTTTCTCTTCTTGAAATGGTTTCATGGTCCTTTTAATTTTCCCGACTGTATTTTGGTATTTTTAAATGTTTTCTGTTTGACTGTCCCCAGCGTGTGGCATGCTTGGTTTATTGTGCGCGTCTGATCCCAGCCCTTCTCCCTGTCTCTCTTTTGTCTGGCCAACAGTGCGAGGATGTGCCAACTGCAGGGTCGTCCTGTCCAGCCCTTCTGGGACCTTTACTTCTCCGTGCTACCCCAACGACTACCCTAACAGCCAGGCTTGCATGTGGACCCTGCGAGCCCCCACTGGCTACATCATTCAGATAACGTTTAATGACTTTGACATTGAAGAAGCTCCCAATTGCATTTATGACTCATTATCCCTTGATAATGGAGAGAGCCAGACTAAATTTTGTGGAGCAACAGCCAAAGGACTATCATTTAACTCAAGTGCCAATGAGATGCATGTGTCCTTTTCAAGTGACTTTAGCATCCAGAAGAAAGGTTTCAATGCCAGCTACATCAGAGGTATGTAAACCAAAGGCGGCGCCAACCTTCTGTTTTCAGTTAACATGTGCTACAGTAAACACAAAGACCAGAAGACAGAGTTATGCTCTTTTATGTGAATGTGAATGATTAGGATTAGGACTTAAGGGCAAGAATCTGTTAATGTTCTCTAAGCATTTCTCATTAGCAAACTATGACTACCAGATACCAAATCTGGTTACAGTAGAGCTTAATTCTTTTATTGTGTTTATATGTAGAGCATTTAAAAGCTGCTTGGAAGACAATGACGATACTCCACTGCTAATAATTAAAATCTGTAATTCTAACAACTCTCCACTGAAAATGTAAAGCATCCTTATTTAGAAATCATTTTATTTTGGGCAAGTTCAAGGCCAGCACCAGCAAATTAGTGAGGTCCTAAGCAATTTAATGAGTCTCTACATCAAAATAAAAAAAGGGCTGGGGATGTAGTTCAGTAGTAAAGCAACCCTGGATTCAATCCCCAGTGCAAATATATATATATATATATATATATATATATAGAGAGAGAGAGAGAGAGAGAGAGAGAGAGAGAGATGTTGTCCTTTGAAAAAACTACCCTAGGGGACAAATATAGAAAACACATGTAAATTTACAAAAAGCTATTAATAATTAAGGAAACAATTTAGCCTGAGGAAAGCCCCCTGAAAGTACTTAACTGAAAAAAAAATAAAACATTATTAGTAAATGTTTCCCAGATTCTAGCATCTCATAACATTAAAATAATCTTGTAATCTCTAAAACCAGGCTTTGCTTAAGGAAGCTTAAGCTTTAAGACTATGCAATTTAGTTACATATTTTTGTTTTTGTTTTTCCCTCTTCTTATGAGCTTCCTAAGTAGATGTAATGTATTTGAAAGAAAGGGAGAGAGGTAGGGGAGGACAGATAGATGTAACCATGAGAATGGCTGGCCCTCATCATTACACACTGTGTTTTGGTTGAGAAGTTATTTACTGTTTGTGATTGATATTAGAGAGGTGTGGTTAAGTAAAACACACTTGATTTAATTTTTCAAAACAATGTTTTAAAAAATATGAAATATAGGACAATTGAAAATGAAAAAGACATGAATTAATATTCATTGTATACCCACGACACACTCATAACCACTCATAAGAAATAGCCACAGCTGTTTCCTTCAAGCCTCTTTTAAAAAAATAAAATGCATATAGAATACTAGATTCATATTGCATGACTATCCTGTCACATAAGCAGACCTTGAACTGCCTTATATTTAAAATGTAGACTAAATTTCACAGTTCTCTAAAATTCTACTGTGGATTTTTTACTAGAATATTTATATTAAATGATGTCTTATACAGCTCTTCTTGGTGTATATTAACATATGTTCATGTGCACTGCCATTCATATGAAACAGTTTTTAAATAACATTTTTTAAAATAACTTTATTTTATTTATTTTTGTATGTGGTGCTGAGGATCAAACCCAGTGCCTCACATGTGCGAGGCAAGTGCTCTACCCCTGAGCCACAACCCCAGCCCCTTAAATAGCATTGTTAAGGAAACATACTTATCCTTAAATCAACTTCTATTATATTAGCATAAGAATGTGTTCATAGTGTTATTTAATAATTTCATATATATCACAGATATAGTAGGCCAATGAATGCATTCATTTTCATTTATTATACAAATAATAATAAGCACTTCCTCTTTATTGCTATGGGATGGTCTCCACTCTCTGCTTCAAGATATTAACTTATTTGGTTCTGATTGACCATATAGTTAATAGTACCACTGTTTATTTTACAGATGAGGAGACTAAGGTAGAGAGAGGCGAAGTAATCCAAGGTCATGGCTACTCTATAGAACAGCTGGGATATGAAGCTTCATTGTCTGTCCTTTAACCAGTACTCTTTAGTGCCCCTCAAAAATAGCTCATTTGCCCAGGTTTAAAAGGTCCAGGTTTAAAATACCATTTATGTTGGATTTTGCCTTATAATCTTTCTTCTCAATAAAATTCTATTTACATTTGTTCCTAAAATAGCCTGCTGATGGGAAGAAAGAGAAGGATATGGAATATCTGAAGGGAAGAAGGAAGTCTGGAAATGTTCAGGAAGAGTGATGAAACATGGAACTATTGATTATGTTTAGAATACAGTTGAAAAATAACATTTTTTTTTTTTTGGTAGTGGAGATTGAACCCAGGGGCGCTTAGCCCTTTTTTATATTTTATTTAGAGACAGGGTCTTGCTGACTCACTTAGGGTCTCACCTCACTAAGTTGCTGAGGATGGTTTTGAAATGGCCACCCTTCTGTCTCAGCCTCCTGACCTGCTGAGATGGTAGGCATGCGCCACCACGCCCAGTTAAAATAATATAATTTAAAAAATCTTAATGTGTGTACAAAGCCTTCTTGGAAACTAGTTCTTTCTTAATTGGGGAGTTATGTGAGGTTTTTTTTTGTTGTTGTTGTTTTTAATTTTGAACTCAGAGATTAAAAAAATACTTACTAACTTAGCTTGCTATAACTTCAATTGAGTTTAAGCATTAGATTCAATCATGATTAGAGTTTTAAAATGGGTAGGATTTCTTATTGGTGTTATTATTGGTTTAAGACCAGTGGTAAGGGGTTGTTGATAGAGGAAGGGCAGAGAAAGAGGGGAGCAAGCAGGCAGAGGGTGGATAAAAGTCAATGAGTAGAAAGTGGTGGAGGACAGAAGAGGTCAGATGTTTGCATCTCTGTAGTCCTTGTTCTGCAGTTAACATGTCTTATCTCTGATGCTGTGTTTTTTCCTAGTTGCTGTGTCCTTAAGGAATCAAAAAGTCATTTTACCCCAGTCAGTAGATGCTTACCAGGTATCTGTTGCAAAGAGTGTCTCCATTCCAGCGCTCAGTGCTTTCACGCTGTGCTTCGAAGCAGCCAAAGTTGGCAATGAAGACAGTGACTGGGTGGCGTTCTCTTACTCAGATGCATCCCTCGAACCCTTGCTCACTTTTGGAAAGGCCAATGGTGACTACTTCCTAAATATTTCTGGCTCAAAATGCTGGCTGAATAGCGCATTACCTGTGAAAGATAAAGAAGACATTTTCACTGAAAGCTTTGAGCAGCTCTGCATGGTCTGGAATAATTCTTTAGGCTCTGTCGGTGTCCATTTCAAAAGAATCTACGAAATGGTCCCGTGTGATTCTACCATTAGTAAAGTCATTCCTGGGAATGGGAAATTGTTGTTGGGCTCCAATAAAAATGAAATCGCCTCCCTAAAAGGGGATATTTATAACTTTCGGCTTTGGAATTTTACCATGAACTCGAAGATCCTCTCCAACCTCAGCTGCAATGTGAAAGGGAACGTGGTCGACTGGCAGAATGACTTTTGGAACATCCCAACCCTTGCTCTGAAAGCTGAAAGCAACCTAAGCTGTGGTAAGTCCGTGGCACAAAGAATTGATAGTCTTTGTTTTTTAGCACTGTTCTATGAAAATGTGTGTCAGTAAGAAATTGCACACATATATGCATAAAATCATCATTAAGGAGCTCTTTAAATTTTTAAAATGTTATCTGCTCCATCATCACAACATAATCAAGAATTATATTTGATTATAAGCCATGCTGACTCAATGAAAGTTTTTAGTTTTGCCATTCTTAAGATTTCCCTAGGTCATAGAATGTCACACAGTTTGTAACTATCAAAACAGTTATAATTATTGTGTCTCAAATAGAAATGTTAGCTCTTGGTTTGAAACAAAATAAATTAATAAATAAGTTATTATTCACGAAAGTGATCTACTAATAAGCTGATCTTTACCATTCTAGAATGAAATTATAATTGCATTGCCCAAATAAACAGCTACCACCTAAGAGAATATTATTTGCTCAGCTAGTACTGAAACACTGAAACACTGAATTGTCAATTTTATGGAAAATCTTGATAATCAGAAATTATCAATTTTTTCTTTGAACTTTTATCTTCATTTGTTTGGAAATGAGCATGTGCAGTCATTTAAAATATTTTTCTCTCTGGTTCCCTTTTAGGAAAATTTTAATGTGGTATTATTGGAAGTAGGTAAATGCAAAGTATTTAGAAAACTAATTCTAAAACATAGACTTCTATCAAATATTTCCTATGTATACAAGTTAATTCTGGAAGTCTTTATTATAGGTTTTATTTAAACATAACAGTAAATATTTTATTATCAATTTGATTTTATATAGATTTTTTTTTTAAAAAAACAACTTTTTTTATTCCAACTTTTGTTTTGTTTTGGTAGTTGGACACAATATCTTTATTTTATTTATTTTTATATGGTGCTGAGGATTGAATCGAGTGTGAGGCACATGTACAAGGCAAGTTGTCTACCACTGAGCCCCTTATTATCAATTTTAAATGCCATATGATAATCTAAACTATGGATAATATGTACTTTTTAGTCACAGAGATAACTCTCAGTAAAGGAGAGCAGAAGAGGCCTAGAAGTCCAAAGTAATTTTATGTAACTTTGGGAAGAATTTTATCAGATCTTTCTTCATATTTTGCACCAAGGGGGACCCATTGTAAATTTGGGGCCACCTCCCCAAGTCTCCTGGACTGTGCCTGTCTTTCGGATTTGGGAAATCCCTGTCACCTATCCCTCCATGGAGGTCACCCATCTCTCTCTGTGGTCCACAGCACTCCTGCAGATGGTAGGAAGGCTATCCACTGATGTCATTTGGAAGACATTTTCTTACGCATTGTTGGAAAGAGGGGTGAACCACAAACCTGTTCTGGAAGGAGACTGAAACTTTGGAAGAGCTAAGAGTGTTCCTTAAGATCATACTCTGGTCTAAGATGAGCTAGAGAACCTTCAGTGACTCCTATAGAAGTCTTTCACTCAGTGAGGAAATGTAGAAGGTCAAGTGTATGTTTTTGGTGTGGCATCAAGGGTGAGGAGGAGGAGCATTCCCTACTTTCTTGGAGATCAGTTTTCAGTCCAAGGCCTTCTTTCCATCATATTCTTGGCCAGTGTTAAAAAGTCACAATATGGACTATTCTGATATTTGCCTTTTTATGAAGCAATATCTTGAGGACTAGGATAACCCAAAATTACATTTGAATTGAATACATATACTAAATATCATTTCAAAAACTTTACGAATATTTAATAGTTTCTTACATCATCCATCTCATCATGTGAGTTCTATTCTTGACCCCATTTTGCAGAAGAGGAATCAGGAACAAGAAGGTTAAATAACTGAACCAATGACACTTAATTAGTAAGTGACCACATCAGGATTTGAACCCAGAACAGCTGACTTTAGAACTCTGCTGTCTTAACCAGTATAAATTATACTGTTTTTCAGCATAAGAAGGACTAGAAAATGCGACATGGTACTAGAGTAATTGAACTAATTTGTGCCCATGGGAAGAGTATGAAGTCCAAGAACCAGTAACACATTTTGTACATTCTGCGGGAAAACACTGGCTTTACAGGGTGTTAACATAGTATTTGTTTGAAACAAACTTAATAATGTTGCTTTCCTGCAGTGCTTCTTGGATACCTTAGTATAATAAAATATGAGGGGCATAGTATTACAGGGATTCTTAAACTATGAGATCCTCGAGGCCAGAAGTTACAATTTTAAGAGCTTATGGTAGGCCACTTTTTTTTTTTTTAATAAAGGTTCATTGGGACATAGCCATACCCATTTTGCATATATTTTCTATGGCTTCAACTGTGCTATAGTGGCTAGGTTGACTGATGGTGATGGATACACCACAGACCTAAAATATTTACTATTAAGCTCTTGGTGAGAAAATTGCCAACACTAGAACTAGTCCAAGGAATCATGAGAGTCCATTTTGCTGAATTTCACATTTTGGGAAAACCTGGAAAAGACCTGCCAGATCTTTAACCCTTAGTCTTGGTTGGCAGTGGTGGTATTTATTGTCATTTATTTGCTTTTGTTTCACATAATTCTTTTAAACTATGAATTATTTCCCACATTAAACAAAAAATAGATCTCACACAAAAATGAATATTGGGAGTTCTTCTGGCAATCAAAATACAAGCACTTAGCTGGAATTTCTACATGGATGATGCAAGTGGAGTTCAGTGGCATCTGCCCCTTTAGAGATCTTCCAGGTCACCTCAGCCCTCAGCACTCCCCATATCCTTCCTACTGCAGCCCTTTCTTTTGTCTTTAGATCACCTCTCACCCTGGTAGGCATTTAAGTTTGGGAATTGCAATTTAGGCTACTGCTTTCTGCTAATACAGGGTGGGAAACCTTAGAACCTTAGGGAAATTGAGTAGTGGAGGTGGTTGGTGGGCTAAAACTCTGGTCTCCTTCTCCAAATTTTATCTGGGAGTCTTCATATTTTCTTTGCTTTTAATTAATTTTAATTTTTTAAAATTGACAGACAAAAAAATGTAGTGATTCGTGGTGTACCATGTGGTGTTTCAGCGTATGTTTTACTTGGTAGAATGGCTAATTCAAGCTGATTAACCTGTTACCTAATTCATTCAGGCTACTTAACCTGTGACCTCATATACTTGACATCTGTCTGTGCTGAGAACATTCAAAACCTACTCTCCTAGTAATTTCAAGTGTGCATTACATTGTTTTTAACTATAGTCATCATATTGCATAATACATCTCCTTGCCTTCTTATTTCTGTTTAACTGTAGTTTTCTATCTCACACACTCCAGCCCCTAAGAACCCCCATTCTACTCTCTGCTTCTATAATTTCAACTTTTTTAGAATCCACATGTAATGAGATGATGCATCCTCATGTTTTTTAAACTCTTATCTTCAAGACTTCTTTTCCAAGCCTTAAGAGTACTTGAATGTATACATGTTCATGTACTTTAGTCATTTGCAAAATGACTTAGTCATTTGCAAAATGATTTCATCAAAGGACTATCACAAGCATCAGAGTGAGTTCATTTGAATCTCTCTTTTATAGCCACCTTCTTTCCATTCCAGGATGACACTAGACAACCCAATTGGGTTCACTTGGGCCCTGAACTGTGTGTTGGGAGTAATTATGGGTGAAGGGGATTTCCTGTTGCTTAATCATCAGCTCTGGGAGTTGAAGAATCCCAGTTACTTATTAACTGACAGGAAATACCTGAACCAGAGATTATATCTAGTTTTGTTAGCAAAGAAAAACTTCAAGAAGTAGAAAAAAGTGTGTTCTATTAACATTTTAACCTTTCTTTTTTTTTTCTTCTGGAGAACATTTTGCTTTGCTGTTTATGGTTATCTTAATTTCCAACAAATTAATGATCAGTACAGTAACCAGTGAGAAAATAGGATCCCATTCCTAGCATTCCACTGGACTGACAGGGTCTATTAGGTATGAGCTATTCCAGCATCAATTTGTAATAGGAAATGGATGGATTTTCCAATGGTGTTTTGCCAGATTAGTTATAATGAAAGTAAGATAGTAAAACAATAGTCTGCATTTAATATTTAAATGTCCTGTCATTTGTTTCCCATATGTTAAATATCCTTGCCATAATAACATGAATGTTATTATTAAAAGCTTTAACAATTTCATAATTGGACGTTTTGTTTCCCTTTATTTTTCAAAGTTTATTTGGGGAATGAATATGCCTGAATTAAGAAAATTTCCCCTGATTTTTAAATTTATGATTAAATCTTCTCCTGTCCAGAAATAAATGATTGATGTAGCAATAATTCTTTTTCACATTGTGGCACCTTTATTTTTCCTAGAACAAAATTTTAAACATTCAGTTTTATGACCTTCAGGAACAGATAATCTTCTTAGTTGACTCTTTAATTATAGGTGCAAGCATTTGCCTGTGTTATAATTCAGGTTTAAACACTGGCTGATGTCCATCAGTTTTCACAAAGAACAGACAGTGCTTTCTCTAACCGTTTTATTTATTTTACTGATTACCGCTCTTTCCTGAGGAGTGGTACAGTATAACTCAATGAATAGCAGGAGTTCAAACAAATTACATTATTTAACAAGCATAGCTTAAGCACTTCCCTCTATTAGTCACTGTGGATATAGAGATAAGACACAGATCACAAGTACCCGATTTTGTTTTTATTCCTCTCCAGAAATTTTTACAATTTTATAGACTTTTGTTTTCATCTTTAAGATTTTGCACCTTGTTGCTATGGCTTCATCAGCTCTCAGAGACCTTCCCTTTCTTAATTTCTACAGTTCTATCCCTCACAGCTACAAAACTCATTCATTGTTGGATCCTGCCCTCTCTCCCTAACAAATTATTGAGTTTAGTATTTTTAGATTGCTAAATCATCTTGAAATAAAAGTAAAATAGAATCACTTTATCTTTACAAGGAATTTTATTCTTTGAGAAGACTCAAACTCTTTATTAGCATAGTAATTTCCAGAAATAATTTAATTTTGAACATATTTTATTGAAAATTTATCAAATCCTGAAAGAGAAAAGGGGAGGGTCCACTTTTTAATTTTATGCTTTTTGGAAATTACTGTTAGGGTTACCATTATTTGGATTATCAAGTAGGGTATGAGATAAGCTACTGGCTGCACATCTGTCCATTTAAACCATAACTTACATAAATATATAGTGACTTCTTTCAGTACTGTGATTTGGGAAGAGCAACAAAAGGTACAGAAAAGAGATTGGAGCTATACAGCTGTTCACCAACTCCTCATATACATGTTTTTGTTTCTTTTTTCAAGAAAACTTGACTAAATTTTTCTGTTAAGTAAACACTTTTGTTAGCCTCAAAAATCAGGGAACATTCACAGTTCATGTTATAAAAACTGTTGGTGATAAATATGTCAGTATCTGGAAGAGAAGATTGTCTCCTCTTCTTTAAGCTCCCAGTTTGTAAATCCATCAGCCTAGCCAAATTGATCATGACATTGGCTATTTTATACAGATATGCTGGAAATGGAACTAGGTAGAAATGAAAGAGTGGGTTTGCTCTTGGGTTTTTTGTTTGTTTGCTTGATTTTATTTGAAATGGGATGTCACCAAGTTAGCCAGGCTAGCCTCATACTCATTGGCTCAAGTGATCCTCCTGCCTCAGCTCCTGAGTAGCTGGGATGACAGTCACACACCACTATGCCTGACTGTATAGACTTTTTATATTTCATGTGTTTGTTTATGTAATTTGGTGTATTTGTAGTGTCAAATCTCATTCACTATGGTAACTTCCTTCCAATTAAATTGGTTATTTTTTAATACCATTTTCATAATGCAGTTTTCATATTTAATTTCTGTTAAATTTCTATTGCCCTGTTAGATCATCATAAAATAGTGTTCACTGAGTAACTTATAAGGCAATATTAATTTGCTAATGTAAAATTCCCCAGGAAGAACAACAAATTAAAATATTGAGAGGCAAATGCTATAATTTCCCAGGAAAGCCCGTCACACACTGATGTTTATACTTGGTACCATACAATGAAACTGATAAAACGTTCAAGAAAATGATTGCATATCTTGTTCTAAATCATAGCTGTCTGACTTTCTTTTCTTTTTTTTTCCACCTCTAAACTCTCCAACATAATGTAGTGGAAATGTAGTTAGCTTAAGAACTTCTTTCCCACACCACTGTCCCTTATCTCCCTTTGTCTTCCAGAGATATTGTATCAGTTCCAGAAGTGGCCTAAGGAGCCTTTGACTGCCAGCATTGTGTGTAATTTGAGAACCAGAGGACTCGATCCAACAGTCTCCTCTGTTGCATGTTAGTGACTGAGATTTCCTCAGTCACTCTGAGTTTTAAAGGCTTTTTCACTTTCAAAAGTTCATTACCAAAATACAAGAGTGCCTATAGGAGACATACATGGTGATGGAAAGGCATGAGGGCAGATGGCATTCAAGATGAAATGATTCTCCCACCATCCTGCCATACCTTCTGCCTCCCCAAATGCTTTTTTTAAATTTTTAAATTTTTTTTTGCCAGACTACACTTGGTTTAGTTTTTCAGTCTTTAAAACTTTTGTAAAGTCCCTCTCTGTCTCGGCTTCCTTGCACAACCAAACATCCTCATCCAGCATGCACTCCTCAAACCTCAGAAGTTTGAACTGAATCATTCCCATGTGACTAAAACTAATTTCTGTAGAACTGCTACCAAAATTCCAGAACAAAATGAGGACTCTTTATGGGTCTCCATCATTTCCTTGCCCCTCTGGCATACTTGATTGGTACCGCCACACCCTTCACTGGACTTTCTTCACTTATGTTCCCTGAGACCACTTTCCACAGAAGCTGTTTTTAACTTCTGTGTTCTGTATGACTGATGCTTAACCCTGGGAATATCCAGAGTTCATTCTGTTCTGTTCTCATATCAAAACCGTGAGGTTAGGCCTCTTGGAACATCCATGTTGCACAGCACCTCAGTTTCATTACAGCCCTTACTCTTTACCCATCTCCACCTAAGTTTGAAGTCCTGGTATTTCCTATCTCCTTCCATGAGATGGTTATGTGCCTATTTCTCAATCTGGAAACTAGCAAATGTCCTTTCTTCTCTTCTGTAAGTAACTGATACTTCTGTAAGTGTAAATGCACGTATGCTTCTCTCTGTCCTTCCTCACTATACTCATGATATCAAGCCTGAATTGTTAGTATTGTTCCTTCTTTTTGTGTCTTCCTTGTTTTGGTGAGAGAATGTCAAAAATTAACGTTTTCAAATATAAATCTAATTTTCCCTAGCTCTTATTCATTTTTTCCCATTGCCTTTAAGAAAAAGGTCAGAATTTTAGTAGTCATTCATAATGTGTTGAGTAATTTATTCAGTTCAGCGTGAGCACCCACCTACTGTGTGTGGGATTCACCACTGGAAGAAAGACACAGTGTTTCCCCTACTACAAGACCCTCCACTGTCTGCTGATTACCTGTGTATCATGTTGTCCCTACTGTTCTCTATAATGACTCTATTGCATTTTTAATGCCACATTACTTAAGTTCCCTTGAGATCTCTTCAGTACCTTCTTGGTGTATGCTTTAGAAATCGTCTGGCAGCACCAGATCTCTTACTTCACATGCCTCCTGGGTCTCCTTCATTGTAATAGATTTCCTGTTCCCTCTGCTCTCCAAGCTGCTGTCATATCCCCCTGGGGACTGCTACCACCACCGTTCCCTCAGCACTCAGAACTGTGTAGCCAGCTCCATTCATGCCTCTAAGAGCAGCAGCACTGCAGGGGACACTGTCCTGACCTCTGTGCCTCATGTATTGTAGGCAATGAGTGAGTTTGTGTTGCATGAACACATAAAGGTCTGATGAGAGCTTCTTGCTAGTTAATATCACATCATAGACCTGCTTGTAAGGCTGGCCTTTTTGGTATACCATGATCCCTTCCCTGAGCCTGGTGCCTGAGGCAATCAAGAATGAGGAAATGTTGCCTCCTGAGATGCTGCTAAACTGCTGGAGTGTTTTCTGCTTATGCACACCGTTTACCTCATTAGGAATCTTTTTGTGAGCTCATACATCTGCTATGCCTTTTCCCGTGGGAAAGCTGGGAAAATGTTCAAACATTAGAATGAAATCATTGTCATATAAGTGTCCCTTAAACATGTAATATTACATATGTATGTGCATACATATGAATCTGTAGGTATACACACACACGTCATCTACTTTTGTATTTATTCTTATGACTTTATTCAAATGCTGTATACTTTATAATCAGTTTATTTAGCCCATCTTCCTTGGCCACCATGTACTGGTAAAAGTCTTGTCAGTTGTCACAGGAAGTCTTATTGCAACAGAGAAAATCCACTACTACTTCTAGAAAATCAGCTTTAAATTTACTTCCTGCTGAAAATGAGTCAGTAAAAGCTTGAAACAAAACGGATGCAAGACTGACTTGAATCACAGAAACATAGTCTAGGATTGTAAGTAGGATAGGCATGCTCATGTCTATGAACCAAAAATATGTATTTGGTGAGTAATTCATAATTCTGCAAGTTCACTTTTGAAACTTAGCCTTGATGTCTGTACTATTTCATTTGTATGACTTTCCACCAGAGCCTTATAATTAATTATGTAAAAACGCCCTGAACTTTTTTCACACAAGCTATGAGGGACCATAGCCATGTTGCATGGCTGAAAAATTGAGTTCAAGATTTTGAGGGTAATTTCAATACCTTGAATTTGTATTTGAGAAAATTAAGGTTGCAGTGACCTTAAGAAACTTTTCTGTTAGAGTATTATTGGTGGGCTTTTTTTAGGGCTGGTCCTATTCCACTAACCATCTGGTTCATGATTTTTTATGGTATTAGTTAATCATAAGTCAAATTGGTATATTCCCTCTGTGTTGATCAAGGTTCCTACCTGATTCCGCTCCCGGCAGCAGAACTAGCCAACTGTGCAGAACTGGGGACCCTCTGTCAAGGTAGGGAGTCCACGTTGTACTTGTTATTTTGGATCATGTAGTGGCCATTGCTTTGATTTTTATCTTTATTTTCACTTAGAAGGCCAGAAGCCAACAAAACAGAAACATTTCTGCATGTGTTTTAGTTGTGTGGGTGCACAGTACATGCAGTGTGGAAAAAGAATGCATTCACACACTGTTGACATATTTCCATGAAGCACTGAGTTTTTTAGAAAATGTGAATGATTATATGCTATTCAACAAGGGTGGATTCCATTTTCCCTGTTTCTTCTCAAGAATATTGCAAAGGTCCAGCATAAATATAGTTTTACAGTAGTTTGAAGAAGTATTAGTGTCTATAAAACAAGGGGGAAATTTTTTGAATATTTAGTTAAATTTAAGACAAGTCTGCAGTTTGTGATGTGCAATGTAACTTAAATCTTAAGATAAAAATGGTTATACTAACCCATTGTTAATATGTTTATTATGATGTTTAAGGACTACATCGTGGTCAATATTTAATTATGTATTATACACTAAATAGTTGCATGCTAAATAGTTTTAAAATAGTAGTTTAAATGTGTTGCTTTAATTTTATCATTGCTTCTTCTAATTACCCATGGCTCCTTTTTACCCATTTATTCTATTAAATATTTCTACATGAACTAGCATGTTCTACGTGCTACATAAAAACCATGGCCATACCTTTTATAAAAACTGAATCTCTTACTAAAAAAGAATCATGGCACCAAGGTGACAGATTGGAAGTGAGAACAAACAAGTAGAAACCTAAGCTCTTTTCTAGAGTTCCAGTGTGGGACTAGGGCAAGCAGAGGTAGGGAAACTTATTATTATCTTTGTTTTCCTAAGACATTTCTTGTGTTGTTATTTGTCAAAACCCTATGAAAAGTAAGTTTAGTTTCTTTTCACAAACTCAGTGTAACTTTAAAATAGTTTAATGAAATACACCAAAAAAAAAGAGATTAACTTTATTTAGTTCAGGATCTGAAAGTTTTTTTTTTTTTTATTGATTGTTCAAAACATTACAGAGCTCAAGACATATCATCTTTCATACATTCGACTCAATTGGGTTTTGAACTCCCCAAATACATAATACAGACTCACTTCTGTTACATACTCACATTTTTACATAATGGCATATTAGTGACTGTTGTATTCTGCTACCTTTCCTATCCCCTACTATCCCCCCTCCCTGAAAGTTTTTTTTAAAAAAATTGTTCTATTAATTTTAATCCAAGATATCTGTAAGTACTTACTCTCTGGGACAAAGGACCAGATATGCAGCTTTTTCTTTGCTTTTCCCCATGTCCTAACCAAAAAGCATTTTTGCATCACAATAAACATAATTGATTGTTGATAATAAAAAGGCTTAAAAATAACTCCCAGTTCTTAAGTTTTTGGAATGGCAAGTTATTTTAGTTATAAATGCACATTTTGCATCAAGGAAATCAGTATTTTATAAAGAGCCTTTGGAAGGCATTTCTCTGTGTAATTCTGTTTTAAATAATGTTTCAGTTAAAAGAGATATGTAACAAATGGCTATTGTATATATGAATGTACATCTAATATGAATATACTAGATACATAGTGTGTATACTTTATTTTACTATATATACATAGATACATATGTTTACATATATGCATATGTATATCTAGCTATATATATGTATCCTTATATAACCCCTCTAATTTACTAGAAAATATTATCAAAGCATTGTGTAAGGGTTTAATCTTTGAGAGTCTGAAATGTATTAGAAGCATATCTATGACATAATGCTTTGAAAAATGTCTCCTCTGTGAGAGTTGCCCTTGTGAAATACTTTTTATCCATCGATGTTAAAGTAAAGATCTTTAAATTATTTACTCTGTACTTTCATTCTTTTTCCTTTTTCTTTACATTTTTATTCTTCAAAATTTCTTCTGAGGTTTTATTCCTCTAGTCACAGAGTATCAGGCAGACTGACTTGGTTTGGATAATTTTCCAGGTGTAATCTGCATAGAATGCCTTCTATAATTTTTCCTTTAATGAATTCAGGGAACTGAGTTATGGAAAGGTTTGCTGATCTGTTTGTTATTTGATTGCCAATCTGTTGATGGCACACCTGGGTCTAAACTATAAATACCTTTTCTCCAGTCCCTTGTGCAGTATGGCCACAAGACATGTGAATTGATTCTTGATGGACCGTAGAAAGCATCACTTCATTTTCTGCATTATAACATTGGAATCTGTTGTATTGGTGCCAAGAAATGGTTTCCATTCCTCTTCTATGTGTTTTCATGCATTAATTGTAGATTGCTCATCCATATTAACTGTTATGTGCTCCTTGCAAAATTACATCTTTCTCATCTTTATCACCAGCTACTGTAAACTCTGCTAGTACTACACCACCCACTGTCACCACTAACATGCCTGTTACTAATACAGTCGATAATCAAATGAATGGTAAGAAATCATTATGTTTTATATTTGCAGATGTCTAACAAAATAAAGAATGTATTCTAAGGGTGGGGAAATCTGATGTTCCAACAAAATTTCTGTTATTGGAGGCAATTGGTATACTTACTGTACATTTGCAAGACTAGAAAAATAAATATCACTTATGTCTCTCAAGCTCCCCATTGTTATAACCAGTGGAATGAGTTCATTTCCATACTCCTGCACTTTTAGCCAAAGTTTTTTCCAAAGGAAATTTTAAGAGAAAAAGCTTCAATGAAAAGGAATTAATTTGCATTATAATAGAGATCTGAGAAAGAAAAGCTAATTTTTCCATGATATTTTTTAGTCAGCTATTCTCTTCAGGAAAAAGGATTTTAAAATTAAAAAATACTAAGTAATTTTAGAAATTTACTTTTTTATTGAAATCAACTTCATGTTCAAACGTTTATGATACTTGAATCAATTCCATGATTATACTTTGCTCTCTATTTTTATTGTTGATGAATATTGGTTAGAATATGAGTATATATCTACTAAATCATAGTTCTTGTTTTTATTTATTTATTAATTTATTTTTTTGTGTGTATGTGTGTGTGCTCACGTGAATGTGCTGGGGATGAAACCCAGGGCTTTGCACATATTAGCCAAGCATTGTACCATCAAGCTACTCTTTTAGTCTCTTTAAGATTTTTAATAATGAAGATTCAAGTAACTCCCATTATTTATTGTCTTTTTCTCCATATTTACTTTTCTATTGATATTATTTATAATTTTCAAATATAGTAGTTATAATAAGGTAAAGTGTGAGCCGAGGAAACACCAGGTGAATTGAGTTATTATGTGACCTGCTACCCGTACATAGAATTTTTGTAATTTGGAGTTTGCAATTTCAGTTTTTCTTAAAGAGAAATTCCAATCAGGTGACCACACTATTGCCTCAAACATACTAATATTATCAACTATGAGATCTTAGAAACACTGGGATTTCCTAAACCCTAGTTCATTTGCTTGTGAGGCCAAGACATCTGTAATATGTCACAAGGGACAAAAAAACAGAGCAAAGAAACCCACATCATTCATTTTTTTGATTTTTGCCTTCTGAGGTTACATCAACTTCCTTTGTAAGGACATTTAAGTTGAAAGTATGGAATATTTTACATGAAACATAGATATAAATTTCATTAGGGTTATAAAGACATCGATTCAGGAAAGTGTTTATGGTTGTTCTGCTAGTTACACCAAGGAGATTTATGATGGAGCACAAATTCCAGCCAGCCCCAAGAAAGCAGCAGCCGCTGAAGTTTCCAGAGCATATTTCACATGGAGCCCTGCCAGCAGATGGGAATATTATAATTCTAACTAAGTATTTCACTCTTTGTATGAGCATACAAAGAGCCTCTGTGGCATTCTCCCTCCAGGACTGGCACATCCTCTACTGCCCAAGAACATTTATATGGAGCTTCAGAGTCCTCGGCTTGGTGGAGTGGCGCTGTACTCACTCAATCATGTCACTTCTGACATTCTTGAAGAGAGCCTTGTTTGGCCCATCTCTCTTTGCGTCATAACCTTCACTGGAGTTTCAACAAAGCAGGCAAATGTTGGAATCAGTTAAAATGGTTTATCTTGACCACATTAATGAAAAAGAATCTAATTCAGAGGATTCTAGATCAAAATTAAATCAGCATTTTAAAATATTCAAAACTCATGTGGAGGAACTAGTCTTAAAATTGTGTGCTCAAATTTGTTCATCATCTTAATGATACTTATCATATCCTTAAACTTCCTATGATACTTCCTATGTTTATTTCCTAAATTGATCTGCAGTTGACTTAAACATTTGCATTTACATGAGAAAATAAATTTCATTATTATAAAATATAATATTTTCTATATATAAAAGAGAAGTGAAAATAAGAAGTATAAAGTGAATATTGTTTCTGAATTCTTTCTGCATTCTATTGGCTTCTCACATCTCAGAGCCTGATGCCCTCATTATCTTTTTAAAAAGGAAAAGTAGCAAAGTATAAGAAACCGACAGTATGCAAGTAAGATTTTTTTCTTTGATGTAATCAAATTTGAAACAATTGAAAGAGATTTTTTTTTTTCCCTAGCGAATAAATGACATCCAGTGTTATATGCTGGACTATCTAAGACTGTTCACATACTATCAACAATTTCTTATTCTTTGGGAAATTGATAGAGTAAACATTCTCAGGCTTATAATCTCATATATTAGAAGGTCCCATTTTGTTCACTGTAAACAGATTTGACATTTGTGTCTATCTTATTATCACCTTACATTCCTTTTAACTTCAGTGGATCAGTTTTACTGAGTTTGGTAACAGTCTGCCAGTGCAGGGAGGAGATAATCAGATACATGTCCATAATATAGCAATTAATATTTGTTTTCCTGACTTTTGTAAAATGTTCCAGTTTTTCTGTGCAAAACTCTTTTGTTATTTTCAGTAGGACTTTTGTCTGATACCTTAGATTGCACTAAGAAAGCATTTAAGATACTTTTTACAAAAACTGGTATTTCAGAATATCAAGGATAATCTCAGTGTTCCTACAAATAAAGAACCTTTCTGCTTTTTCCAAAAGAAAACTCCTAGACTAATAATATCCATTACAAATCCTATCTTCTATACTTGAAACAGTATTCTAGTGCCACTGGACAGTAAACTTTTGTGAAGTTCACACAAACAGCCCAAGTAAGAAATTAACTCTTAGTTCTTATTACTGTTTTAAAAATCTAATTTACAAATAAAAATTGCTGTGTTTCCCTTCCAGGGCCTCACATATGTTTAGCTATTCAGATCACAAATTCACTCATAGGACATTTACCTGGCTCCAATAATAGCTCTAGCTTTATATGCCAGATAATTTCAAGAAACTGTAGGCTCTGCATGATGCCAGTCATATTATAAATGCCATCGATACATTATAATTGCTTCATCACTAATTCAATGACATAGTCTCAATGTAAACATTTGGTTTGGATTTTAACATCTTTTCAAATGTTTTCAAACCCATCATTTCAAATGTATATTTCACACTCTTGAGGAAAAATCAGATATACCAGTGTGATTTCTCTGTCCTCCAAGAAACTCTAAAAATGTTATGAAACAACAGCAACAAAAAAAAAAAAATAAATAAAAGAAAGTTTAAGTGGTGATAAACCTGCAAAAAGAAATACCATTTTGATACCATATCTGTGATGACCTGCAATAATTTCCACTTTCACATTCTGTGTGGCTGGAAGACTTATCTAATTGGAAAATGGATATATTTTTAATTTTTTTTCAAGAGATGTCTATGAGAAGTTTTACTGGCCTGCATGGCATTATTAGGATAATCTATGCCTCTTTTGAAGCCTCTGGAACACGTGAAGATTTGTATTGACTGTTATGTTGACTCACAAGCAAGTTGCTGTGTCCATGGGAGCAGAGGAGCTGTGATGATGTGGGAGGGCCTGCAGCTGTGTCTTGGCTGCATTTCTTCCAGTGTCACTGTTGAAGCCAACTGATTTGCTGTAATCCAGAACCATTGTCACCAGCCCTTTCTTGAACATTTTCTTTTCTTTGGTGCTTCATCCTTGGACATGCTTCATGATCTCTCATTGACTCTTCAAAAATTTTTAGTTTTTAGCTAAGTTTGCAAAATATGTAATCTTGAGGCTTCAGAAGAGGGACAGCCTGATAGTTGTCCATAGAAGAAGAGAAACTACCATAAGATGCTAGGCTATTTGGTATATTAACTAATTATATTGGCTGTAGGCAATATAACTAGAAAGAGAACTCTCTTGGCTGCTTATGATACTGGATGTTTCTCATTTGTAATTGCAATGTACTGAAAAAACTGGAGCTGCCTTTAAAACTTAAATAAGCCACCTGAAATATTTGGATGATTCCATAAATTTTAAAAAATGTCAGTGGTTAAAAATATTGATTTTTTGTATTTTGCAATATTTTTCTGAGGGAAAGCATTACCAAAAAAAAAAAAAAAAAGTGCTTCAGGACTCCATCTAGTGGTAGTTTTTTAAATACTTTCCAAACCTTAGTGAACTTTCATATGGGATCCCTAGGATCTCTTGGACCTTTGCAACCTGAATTTCCTATCAGAATGTTCAGGAATTGAGATGATGAATCTACACTATGAAAGGGTTTTTTTGTTGTTGTTGTTTAAATTGTTGTCATTTATTGTAATTTTCCTCCTTGGGTATTTTTTCATTCAGAACATATTTTAAAATAATATAAAATCAAGACCATTAAAATACCTCATTAAAATACCTGAAGAGTTTTAGAAGTTGAAATAACCCCATTTGCATAAATTAAACTCACTTTTTTGCCTTATCCCAGTGGTATATATTTACATTATTATATCCAGGAATGGTAGTTCATATTATTTAGTGTGAAACTGACTTCTTTACTGGAAAGACATTCCTTAACTGGAATTTGCATTTTGGTAGATTTGGGAGTTTTCAGAAGCATACATATATTTTTTCTCCTGCCTTTCCACAATTTTCATTAAATATCTTCCTCAACATTGTTTTAATTATACATTTCTGTATTTTCTATGCATATTTTACTTGAGACCCTTAGCTAAACAAAGCATAAAGAAAGGTATGGACAAAATTATTCAAAAACTTTTCTGTTTATAACACACCATATTTTAAAATAATATTTTCCTCATTAGATTCTTTGGGTCAAGCATCCTATAGTAAAAGCAAGAGAGTTTTAGCAATCTCTTGCTGGTGAGTTCAATTCTTCATAGGAAAAAAAAAAATCAGACTACTTTAAAGATTGTCCCTAAAGGAAAAACCATGCCCCTTTTCACTATATAATTTTTTAAAAAGAAGTTAGACCAATTAAAAGTCTGCCTGCCTGCAAATAGTCTTTTTTCTCTCTCTCTACTTTGGCATGATGACTATATTTAAGAGTTTTAATGAAAATCCTGGTGAAATCCAACCCAAATGTCAATGTTTTACTGGGGAGAGAGATTAGCAGGAAGTGAGAAGAGTTTAAGGGCAGCAAATATGTGTGTGCCTGGTGTTTTTAAGCTATCTGTCCATCATCTCATTCAAGTATCACAATAATCAAGTGACTCTTGATTATTCTTTATAGTGTACAAAACGTGATTTCTTGCCTTGATAAATCAAATTATCATTTTATCAATGGTAGATACCAGAAATCTATAAGCTAAAAATTCTGAATAAACATACAAGCCTGGTAAAAGTCCTATTCTAGAGATGATTTGGGAGCAATGAATCCTCTGTAAGAGCAAACTGATATTTATTTTTAAGAAGTTGCAAAAGAACAGTAAACATAACCTCAAAATATTTCATAAATTTTCTATGACTCCATAACAAGCGTTTCTTTGAACTTGTATGAAATTATGTGATTAACATTGTTTTATATGACTATAAAATATAATGAATGGATCAACCTTATTTCCAACGGGCAGATGGAATTATATATAGAATATCCATAGTGATTCAAAATATCCTTCGTCACCCTGAGGTCAAGGTACAGAGCAAGGTGGCAGAATGGGTAAGTGAACCTGAAAAATTTCTTGTTTGTTTTAAACCTTTAACTTCTGGAAATTTGAAAAAGATTCTGAGTAACTGAATCCACAGATTATACTAAAACATAGACACTGTTCATTATAGATATATTAATAGATGCAATAAGCAAGATATGCTTATGCATAATGAATAAAGGCCATGAAACTGAGCCTACAGACTATAAATTTCCTAAATAAAAGAAGTTAGCACATTAGTAGATTTTGGTAGGTATCATTACTTATGATTAGCTTTATATGTTTTCAGCTAAGTTTTAAAAAATAGATTTCTTATTTTTTTATTTGACTGTTTAGTCAAAACCAAAACTTACACGATGACTTATCATGAAATTGTTCTCCTTTTCTTTGCTACTCCTCCACCTGGAGACTCCTCTGCTTGGAATCACTGTTAGGTTTTTGGAGTGCTCTCTAAAGCTCTTTGTAGACATAAAAGAAAATAACACTATAAACTCTTATCTTTCTTCATTTTTACACTAAAACTGATAGAGTTTAAGTACCATTCTACACTATAATAATTTTTGTGGTTGCCAAGGTTAGTATAGGAGAATGTTTCTAAACAGTGTATGTTTAATTATGTGATTGTCTAGTTATTTATTTAACAAGTTTTCTGTTGATGCCCACTTAGGATATAATTTATTTAACCAATATCCTACTGATGGACAATTTGAAAGTTTCAAATTTTCAAAATTTTAGTAGTTTCTTATCTCTCTTGCAAACAGAGCCTATTTTTTCATTTTTTTCTCTTTTCCATACTCAGAAATGTCATTTTTCATGGATTCTATGCTGTGAGACTTGGTGCTTCTTTTTCTACATAATGCAGTACAGTTCAAACTTTGGCCCTTTGTATGGATAGAATCATTAACATATATATTCTGAAGTAAGAAAATGGATTTTCTTAGGTACTAGGTGTCTGATAAATGCTATTGATAGCAAAAATAGTTAAAACAACAATTGAGAGGTAGTGGTGAAAAAATACATATGCACCGACATACACACAGAGATGTAAGTGTACATATATGTACATTTGGAGAATAACTGATAGAAAATGGACTTATCTTTAAAGACAATACTCTTTAAGACAAATTGACCATAGAAAATAATAGTATGTAATTAACAATTTTGTTACAAAATTGGTGGGGAAAGTGAAATTCTTTAATAGAAGTTAAAGAAAAGGCCACTGTTAACTTTTCTGGAATGACTCATTAACATCCTAACTAATTCAAACCTTAGGAGTTGCATTTAATTTTTAAATGGAGACCAGGCTCTACAAAATAGAGTACATACTTGCATTCCATTTTCTTTCAGCATTGTTCTTTTTTTCTTTCTTTCTTTCTTTTTGGGTACCAGGGATTGAACTCAGGGGTACTCAACCACTGAGCCACGTCCCCAGTCCTACTTCGTAGTTTATTTAGAGACAGAGTTTCACTGAGTTGCTTAGTGCCTCACTTTTGCTGAGGCTGGCTTTGAACTCCTGATCTTCCTGTCTCAGCCACCTGAGCCACTAGGATTAAAGATGTGTGCCACCACACTGGGAACAGCATTGTTCTTTATATTTTGTTTAAAGTCAGAATGGTTTCAAAAATGTAAAATTTCTTATTTTCATTCTCAAGCAACTGGCAACGTTATTGATCCTGAAAGCATTCACTGGAAAGTTTGTGCTAGACAAAGTATAATTTTACATTTACTTCATGCATGGCTTGGTAACATCATACTCATCTGAAGCTAAGCTTTTTACTGGACAGCTTGGCTTAAGATATAAGCTACCAAAAGCAGATGCTTGATGATGAAGATACAAATTTTTTTCTGCAACTCATATTATAGGTTGAGTGTCTGAAAAATTCAAAATCTAAAGTATGCCTTTGTGATTATGAGATTAGTGAAGTCTGAAAATATTCCAAAATTGAAATACTGGGATACTTCTGGCAGGATAAGTGACATTCAACCTGTATTACTATTTATAATTTAAAATGATTAAGTACTTTTTTGCCAGCATTTTCTAAAATGTCATTCAATTTTAGACATGCTTATAAGGAAGTCTGATGTATATATGAAACAAGACTTAAAAATCCCTTGGGAAGTGTTATGTAAGTAGGAAAACCTCACGTTGGTAGATAAATCCTGTTTTGCAGTTGTAGTGGATGCCACATCACCAAAGCTTGTTGTTCATGTTGAGGAGAATCCTTGCTTTCAATCAAAAATCTTGTACTGAGCTCCATTAAGACTATTAAATAACCACATGAAATTAGTTTTAGTTCCAATAATGTTGAGCATATTTTATTGCTTTTATAAAGATTTATATTAATTTGTAATTTGTCTTATTACTAATATTCTTGAAGTGTTAGTGATTAGAAAACATGTTCTGTTGTACCTCAGTGATTATTAAATAAATGAAACGAAAGGTGTTTTTGTAGTACACTTCATATCACCATATGGGCTAAAGAAAACTTGAATGTTCCAGTGTGGGACCTGCCACTTCATAGTTGGGTGACCCTGGGCAAACTCTGTCATCTCTGCAGAACTCCATTTTTTTTTTTTCCATGAAAAAGGTGGGGGGTGTGGTAGGGGTGGATATATTGTGAGGACTGAAAGAAAGAGCATTTATCAAGACTCAGGGGAACAGTCATCTGGTATCTCTTACCTTTTTCATTCACTTCTCTGACTCTCTATGATTTTCCCAGGATCTTATACATACAGCTTATCTTTGGGGAGGGAAGAAATTGGATTCATTTTTCTAAAGAGTTACCCGAACTTAGCCTTTTTTGTTTTTCAGCTCAATTCAACCTTCCAGAATTGGAACTACACCGTTTATGTGGTTAATATCAGGTAAATGTCTGAATTATTTGAGAAAAAAATTCTCTAAATTTACCTAAATTATGTGTGTATGTATTCGTGTGTGTGTATATGCACACACACACACACACACACACATATATATATATATATATATATACGTATATATGTAAATAAATATCTATTCTAATAAGTCAGAAATTAAAAGGAAAATTAAATACACACACTAGTTCTGTTAGTTCCTTCTCACACTCTGGTGATCACATAAAGTGTCGCCTAGTTTGCAAACACCTCAGTTTGGAGAATTTTTTTTTTTTTAACAAAATAAGAGATCTACAGTTTGCAACCTAGCATTTCAAAATGCCCTTTCACTATTTTTTTTATTAAATACTCCAGTAAATTCCTAGAAAATAGTATTGTCCATATATTCTCCTCTGTGCCTTATTTTCATGGTTTTATAGCTGAAACTAGTTTTCTGAAGTATATTTTGCAACTCTGAAACATACATTCGTCTGACCCAAGAGACACAATAACACAAAAAAGCAGTCAGTTGTCAGTAAATTCAGAATGAATATTATTCAACACACTAAAGTAGGTTCCTTCTCAGAACATCTCCAATTCTTTTTTCTTCTAAAATAGAAGAGCACACAGTTGCCTGGGTTTACAGAAGAATCTAGAACCTCAGAACACATATTTGGAAATACTTAGAAAATCTATTCTCTCTCCTCCTGTCTCCTCCGCCAGTTTTGTTGTTGATGATATGGTGGATGAGATTGATGCTGATTATGTGTATTTGTATTTATAGTTTTCACCTGAGCACGGGAGAGGACAAGATTAAAGTCAAAAGAAGCATTGTGAATGATCAAAGGTAAAACTGACTACAACTTCTGGAAGGTGTAACCTTTCTCTTGTTCATTGCTTTGACTGTCTGAGAAATGAGAATAATAAGATAGGAGAAAAAAATTCTATCACTCAGTACATTTAACTTTGCCATTGATGCGCACTATTTTTTCTTATATTTAAAACCATAATAGAACAAATGATAAAAATGTAAGTCTGATGAAAAACAGTTTGAAAGTAGAGCATTTAACATGGATGAATTATGATATTTAGTACTTACAGTTTATTTATAATAAACCATTACCTCTAATTTGAAAATGCAAAGAGAACCTCAAAGAAATAGTTCTGTTATGACTGATGTGTGGCTCCATGATAGAGCTCTGGCCTACTGTGGGTGAAGCCGTGGATTCCATACATAAAGCCACACACACAGACACACACACACACACACACACACACACACACACACACAAAGGCATGCACACAAAAAGCTTTTAAAATGCTAAGTTTATACGATCACATCTAATAATATGAATGATATGTACAAAATATTTTTAGCATTTAAAGCCATGAACTCATTTTCTAAAGTCTCTATTTTTAAACTTATTAGGAGCATGACTTAACCACCCCAATAATTTAATATACGTGTCCAACATACATACATAACCTGTTGACATATAAGGACCACCTGTTCATATTGCTATAAAATTGAAAACTTAACTCCAAATGAGAAAAAAATTAGTTCCGGTCAGTATATTGCATCCCCATAGAATTTTTTAAAAATCAATTGAAGAGCAAAAGTTCTCATAAGCCTTGTTGGGTTTTTTGATGTGTTGGCTATACAACTGATGCTCAACTATGCTTCTTTTCAAGTGATATAGTTTTACAGGAAGAGATTAAAATCAAGTTTCATGTGAGAATTGACCAGAGAACTTTCTTCTTGTATATTTCTATTTAACATTAGAAAAAAATGTTTTTAAAGTTACTGGTATATTGAAACTCATCATTTCTGTATATATTCAATAGACAAGATTAAGCCATTTGATTAGGGAAAATTGTTTTTATTTTCTGACATGTTCTTTGTCCTTTAGGATCTGAAAATGAGTAATATATTTCAATATTATAAGTGATAGAACTTTTCCCCTTTACTTAGCCAAATGATCTCTTCCAAGCCTGCCTGCTGGATCACAGTGGGACTTCGGGAGTGGATCCAGCAGCTCTCTGAATCCTTTTGCTGAGCATTTTGTTTAGCAATTGGGACAAGAAGTCAGCTTTCACTTTTTAGCTTGCTTACTTCTTCTGTGACCTGATACTAAAATCATCCCTCACCCATATGTCCACACCTCAGAAATTCTTGCCTAGAAGAGTTAACTGACATAAAACCTCAGTTTCTGTCTGTCAAACCAATGAATAATTTCACACAAAATGATAGGGAGAATGAACTAAGACAGTGTACGTGGGAAAATACTGTCTAGGTTTTCTTTGGTATGAATTTTGGCATTGCTATAATTATCCCGGTAGCACACGCCCCACTCCCAATCCCCGCTTTTTCCCATTCTCTAAAAGTTTGTGTATGCTCATTGCTCAGGTTTTATAATCTCTCATTGTTTTTCCTTGAACTGCAATAGTAGTTTCACACACATTCTTTTTTCTAAACGTTCCCTTTCAAAGTCATTGTGTCATTATAGCTTCAGATAATGCTATCATACTCTATCACCTAGACAGGCAGGAAACCAAAGCCACAGAGGCTGTTTTTTTGAATGAAGAATGTTTGATGGTGACAGCAGATAGAACTTGACTGTGTAGAACCATAAAATTGGTTCAGTTTTCAGGAGGAGAGAGAGGAAAACAACCCAGATAAGACCTGTGAAAATGTGTGCTTATTTTTGAATTGCTGTGTTTGGGTATTCAATACTCCCCGGATACATTGTGCTAAAGATGTTCTCAGTATTCAAGAGAAGTTAAATGTCACATTCCCACCTGTAGGTTCTCAGTGACTGGAGTGGCAAAGCATATCTTCAAACAATAATATAATCAATTTTTTTTTCATAGGCTGTTTCAAAAAATTACTAATGCAGCACTATTCACTATTATTATTTATATCTATGTTCACCTCATCCTGAAATATGACTTGTATATGAGCATTGGGTAGTAGGTCATTTTAGAAATAAATATCTTTTCAGAGTAAATTATAAGAATAGTACAACACTTTGTCCTTGAGAATAGCACAGATATGGGGAAAGGGCATAGAACTATTTAATTTCTCCAAACTTTGAACAGAAAATATTGAACAAATTTCTTATTTTTTAGCACCACAAATATATTAATAGTCTATTTAATTTTTATTTATTTTCACAGAATCTTATGAACAAAATATGCCACTGTCTTTGTACTGCACATTCCATAGTAAAAAGCAAGCTTCTGGTTTGTCTTTGGCAAACTTGATAATTTAATGCCTTGTGTCTTATTTATTCATTTCAGAATATGACCAAGATGAAACTCTGTTGCCAACCCAGAGCATTCATACACAAGGGAAAATATTTCTCATTTACCTGACATACTAATCTCATTTAATTTATCTCAATGTTGAATGAATAGTTTTGATGTCTGGTGTTAATTATAGCTGTGGTTATGCCTGAACCGAAAAGGACTTTGTTATTTTAAATGGTAAAATTGAAAGTTTTGACAAAACAATCTTTTGCTTCCATTAGAGAGATTTTCTTTTTAAAAATTTCAAGGTCAGATACTCTAAAACCATCTACAGTGATATGCTGGCTCACCATAGAATATATCTGGAGCATATGTTTCATAAATTTTCACCACATGAAGCATGTGAGAATGCTTCATGGAGATGGAAAATTCTAATTTTCTATATGAAATATGAATTTTTATTTAAAGACCTTATTTTTTTTCCCTTAAAGCAATAGGGTAGAATTAACCACAATTTTTCTTTCTTATGTGTGTGTTACAAAATAGTATTACAGATAAATGTTAAAATATCTCTGAAAAGAAATGAAGTGATACAGATATACATGTAAAATAACATCCATTCATACTGAAATATTTTCATATTATAATTCATGCATCATCAGGGAAAGCCGGAGAGCACAGTGGCTAGTCATCTCAGTCTTGACATTTTATGGTCATTCTCTGTATCCACATGTTCTGTTTTTTGCACCAAAAAACAACCAGCCAACGATAATTTTATCTGCACTGTTTTTCTAGATTGATGATTTGGGCCCTTCTAGTTTACAATGCTACCAATAATGCCAACTTAGAAGGAAAAACCATTCAACAGAAACTTTTAAAAAACAATGAGTCCCTGAATGAGGGCCTGAGGCTCTACACGGTGAATGTGAGGCAACTGGGTAAGTGACTTCAACTGCTTACAGTTTTAGGTGACTATATATTATTCATGTTTAACTGAGATTCTTCCTTTATGTGTTATTGTCTGTGTAAAAATATTTTTTTCTGATGATGAAATTTATTACATTGGAGATCATTACAAATGAGTGACTTAGTCTAACAAATAGCTCAGTACCTATGAGTCTACTGGTCAGCTCAGTACTTAGGAATCCACTGATCAGCTCAATACCTATGAATCTGCGGAAACAACGAAGAATGTGAGAGTTGATATTTATCTTAGGGGGACGTACTGTGAAAAGACTAAGAATATGAGCAAAATGCCAGAATAACTTGACTGTCATTGACTTTAGGGATTAAAGAAAGAGTGTGCCTCTGAACATAAGAGAACTCGTAACCAGGTAGATCTTGCAAAAGGAAGTTTTTTATTATAAAGCATCTCTCTGTCTTGTGTTCCCTGTCTCCAGTAATGACACCACTGTCTTCCACAGATAGGCCAGAAATCCAGGTGTTATCCTGGACCTAGACTGTGGTGCTGCTTGTACTGTTTAATATGTCACATTCACGTACAACTCCTCTCTACATTTGTGCATACATTCTCTCACTGTCCACTCTATGATCACCTGCCTGTTTTTAAAGGCAGTCCCAAAGTCACCTCTTTTGTGAAGACATTTCTGATCTCATCATGTGTAAACGTACATCACCACCTCCTTGAGCTTCCTTTTCATGCTGTCTGGACACCCAGAGTATCATACCTGTTAGAAGACCTTTGTCTCCTATGAGACTTGTTGATGTTCTTGAATGTGTGTGTTCTTCAAATAGTCATCTCCTCTAGAAAGAGACCACATCTTCGTTTTAAAATACCTTTACTTCTATCTTCCCTCAAAACTCAAAATATTTCTCAGCACTTGAATACTTGTTGAGTAGATGAAAAATTAAATGAACCTTGATGGGAATTTTTTTTAACATATTTATTTTTTAGTTGTAGTTGGACACAATGCCTTTATTTATTTATTTTTATGTGGTGCTGAGGATCGAACCCAGGGTCTTTCACATGCTAGGCAAGCACTATATAAGCCACAACCCAACCCTATTGATGGGAATTTTTTAAAGTAATTGTTAAAAAAATATAGATGACAAAAGTAATTGTTCTAATATTATTATATGAATACAGCGGTGCCATGATTAAATACTATATAGAAATCAGGAGAAAAGAAAAATGATGCTTTCCAGGCTGTGCACTCAGAGTCTAAGCAGGGAAGTGGGAACTCCTTGGCTCTAAGAGGGTGCTTATGCCTGAGGCCAGAATCACAGGGGAATAAAGCTCTCTCTATCTCTATGAGGAACTTCCCATCTTTACCATGTCAACATAGAATGATAATGATGATAATGATGGTGGTGATGATGATAATGACCACTTTCTGAGCCACTGTGGAGAAACGCTTCCTAACAAACAGGGCTCCTTAGTGTGGGGAGACCACAGCAGCTGCCCTTTCATACACTGGAGTCTCCACAAAGAAGTAATGTGACAAATGGCAGTTGATAAATGACTGAGGGACCCTAGGGGCCAGCTCTATCCCTTCTCAGAGGCTGGAGAATCTCAGAACACCCCTCTCTGCATATTTGGACATTTAATTTATAGCATTTAATTTAAATTTTATAGTTTTTCTGCAAGTGGGTCTGTAGAGAAAAATTTCCATCAAATGCTCAAATGCAAAACAACAACAAAACGAAAACCTGGTCATTTTAAAGCCCAGGTCACAATGGGAAAGTTACTTGAATTTTCAGTTGGTGATAATGATACCAGTTCCCAGAACTCCAGTATAACTTGCTGATTTTAAGCATTGAAATATAAGTTTTATTGTGGTTATTGATATATTGCTATTACTTTGATTTTTTTAAAAAATAACATCTGAATCATTTATATCGTGATACCCAGATTCTTTTCATGCAAAAAGTGAAGTGTTTGACAATGAAGAAGTGAGGGTAAGATAGGGGAAAGTGCTCATAGATACCTTCTTGCCATTCTTCCAGTGAGCTTCCTGGCAGTAGATTATTAGCAGAGAAGCTAATTTTAATATTTATAAAAAATGTTCACAACTCAGTGATGAAACCACTATAAGCTTTCCACTTTAACAAAGGTCATTACATTTTGAATCTTTTAGGTTTACTCTCATTTTCTGTAGTGTTTATTTTTTGAATAGAACTTATGTTACTAATCTATGATTATTTACATGTATGTTACCTATTTATGTGTATAGGCACTTTATTGGATGGTTTTATAATATGCAATAATTTCTGTGTCTGAAATGTATTATATGTGTATTCTTCCTTATTTATAAATTTTTACAGTTTCTGAACATAAAACCCTAGTATTTTATCATACATGAAATGCATTCCTAATTACCAGGATTGTATTTGGTTTTCATCATGCACCTTTAACATCAAAGGATGGACTGATCTTTCTCGTGCTCATTCTCATTTCTCTCAGGTATTTGTGCTGCGGTGGAGGAACCCACAGGCTTTTACTGGCCAGCTATCCCACCTTCTGAGTACACCCATCCGTGTCCGGACAAGCCTGGCTTTTCTGTTACACGAATATGGTAATATTTTCATTGACTTGTACCAACCAAGCTTCACACTATCCATATTCCCAGGGTACATGTACTGCTCAGCAGTACTGTTGATTGGGAAAAAGGGCAGGAATCTCTGTATGTGCCTAAATTGTGCTCTTCTGGGTCAGGGGGGTAGAGATAAGGTTAGCAGGTTGCACATCAACAATCTCAAGACATGTCTAAAGAAAGACCTAGGAACTTGGAAAACAGAGTGGTTCCGGGCAGGCACCTTGTGTATAGCTGACCCTAGCCAGCTTGTAGCCCTGGAACATGCAATTAAAAATCCCAAGACTTTTTAACTGTTTGAAGAGAAGTAGCAAAGAGGGAAAAGACAAGATCCAGGCTTAGCAGTCTGCTGATACAGACTGTCAGAATATGAAGTTTCCCTGAATGTCTAACAAAAAACTTGAGAAACAAGATAATTGTAGGGATTCATCCAACTGCTAGTCTCAAATCTAGTTCTTCACCCTCTACCCCACTCCCGGTTAGAGCTTCCTTGGAGGGAATTCAGAAACGGAAACTGCTTAAGTGTGACAGCTGCTGTGTTTGACACTTGGTTGAAAGAAGGCTTTAGAGATCGATGAACTGGAATTTAAAATGTAGCCTGACCTCTTTCTGGCTGGAGACCTTGGGAAATTCCTTGGCTTCTCTTGGCTTCCCTACGTCCATTTCCTCATCTATAAAAGATGGATTTCCAGAGTTATGTGAAATCAAAATCAAAATGTATCTATAAAGTTCTTAAAGCAGTACTTGACCAATGTATTCTAGGTTGGGATACAGGATATTGCTTGTATTTTGATTCTGTGAAGTAGGCTACTCATTTCTTCCAGTAAGGATTTTTAGTATGCACTTTATTTCAACATATTACAACTTTATTTTCAGATGGGACTTACCTAGATATCATTAGAGCTTATTAATTAATATCACAAGCTGTCTTCTCATTTATGTCAAATATTTGAAATATCTTTTTGTTGTTGTTTCATAGTTACGGAAATCCTTCCAACACTTCATTAGCCGAGTGGGGGCCCCTCGATTTATCCAACTGTACAAGTAAGTGAGCAGCTTCTCTGTTCAGTTCCCAAAATGAAATGACTTTATGCCTCATGGCTTTCACCTTCTTCAGACATGTTCTTCTGTGTGCTACTGTTTTAATACTAAAAAATAGGCATATGACTGTTTTTCTTAAGGTAGAAAGTACATGCTTCTCTCATTCTAACTTTATATTCTATTTATTCTATAAGACTAAAATAGTGAAGAAATTTTAGAGAGGACTTTAAAATATATATGTGTGTATATGTATACACACACACACACACACACATACATATGCATAAATACACACCCCCCAAACATACACAATTACTACTGTCAGTGTTTTGTAGTATTGTCAAACAGCAAACGTGCTTATTCAGAGATTCTGGACCATTTCTTTTAGAACAGTATATCAACACTGGTCTCTTAGAGTTGCTTATGTCTTTGTGTCTTACTAAAGAGAGAAGTTAGTTTGTGTATAAATATTGTATTGTTACCCTGTGCAGACAATCATAAGGGAATACACACAGGAACCCTGCTTCAGCTATAAAGTAAAATATCACACCATGTTTTGGATCCCTGGACATGCTTAAAATGAAATGTGCAGTAAAATTTTCTATGTTGTTTCTTCAGCCTTTTTTTTTGTTATTATTGTTTGTTTTAGAGGAAGTAAATGAAGTTGCTAATCAGATTTTAAATTTAACTGCGGATGCCCAGAACTTAACCTCAGCCAATATCACCAACATTGTAGAACTGGTCAAAAGAATTGTGAATAGTGAAGAAAACATTGATTTAACACTCGGCTCGACTCTAATGAATATATTTTCTAATATCTTAAGCAGTTCAGATAGTGACTTGCTTGAATCTTCTTCTGAGTAAGTACCTCTCTCTTTTTTTCTTGAAGAGTAAAATTTATTGAATAAATGTGTTGTTGTATAATTTCAAACCTATCTGAGGACTTTGTGGCCTGCCTTCGTAATTAAAATCTCTGGAAGATGCATAGACAGTCCCCAGGGTCATTCATAAAGGAAGCTTCAAAAAGTTCTCTCTTTTTTTCTTTTAAGAGAGATAATTTACAAAATGATTAGAGTTGTTATCAAACAGTATATGTAAATCCCCATATCATTTGTCTATTTGAAAATTCCTGAAAGATTACTTACCTGAGGGACATTACTTGGTCAATGTAAGTCTACCGTCCTGTGAACTGGACATAAACTGCCACAGCTATGTGATTGTTTGCCTTTTAAAGTGAAAATGCCTAAGGCAGGTGAAAATGGACCTATTTTTATAGAATCCAGTTTGTGTCCAATAATTTCACTTAATACGTTAATATTAAAGTGTTTAATTATTTTCTGTTCCCTTCTTTTCAACCACATTTCTTTAATGAAAATTTTATATTCATTGAAAGGTATTCTCCAAGTTAATTTGTCTTCAAAATAATAAATTACAAATATTTTCACATCATATTGTTTCCTTTGATTCTTTCTAAGTTATAAAGTGGGGAGGGTATTTTTCTTATGAGCAAAGAGAGGCCAAAACAAACGAAAGACAGTACTTGTTCAGGATAATTTAATTGTTGGTTTCCCTTAAAGAAGATATTTCTCTTGAGGATGAATCTGTCACTGTGATTCTATGTTTTAACTGATATTATTATCGTTTGGAGTAACTTTGTGGATATTTAACTTATTATCAGAAAATTTAAGATAATTTTATGTAGTTTGTGTTTTGCTATGCATCAAGACATGTGATCAGGTATCTAACACATTGTGTACTTAACAGTGACATCATTGTCATTTCTTTAGGGCTTTAAAAACAATTGATGAATTGGCCTTTAAGATAGACCTAAGTAGCACTCCGCATGTGAATATTGCAACTCGGAATTTGGCTCTTGGAATATCGTCCCTGAACCCAGAGACGAATGCAATTTCAAATTTTAGCATTGGTCTTCCAAGCAATAATGAATCATATTTCCAGGTAATAAACCACAGTTTTCTCTAATTTTAATTAGTTAATTAGATACAAACTTGCTGACCACTTTAACAGCTGTTACTTCAAGGACATGTATGCCCAAGAGGTGGCAGGCTGGTCTGAATATTGGCTAAGTTTAATTCTATCAGCAGCTACAAGTATTGTGGAAGCAGGGAGAAGGTGCCCCTTCATAGCTGAACAATAAGAGGTCATCATCTATGAGAGGTGACATGGAGCCAGGTGTTAAAACATGAGTTGGGGCTGCCATATTGGGGCACCAAGAATCAATCCATTGAGAAGAAAGAGGTCTATTAAGGACTCTGGAAAGTGAAAACCTTTTTACCAGTGATTCTTAAACTTAACATTAGAATCTCCTGGAGAACTTATTAAAACCAATTGCTAGACCTTACCCCAAGAGCTTCTAATGGAATAGGTCCTGGGTCAGACCCTGAAATTTGCGCTTTTGAGCAAATTCCTGAATATTACCAGTGCTGCTGGCCTGAGGATCACACTTCAAGAAATAATGACAGAAAAGTCTGTAAATAGCAGGTGACACTGAGACTGGACAAGTGAGCTGGGGCCAGATTAACAGAGAGCCTCTTGGACATGTTAAAGTCACACTTTAGCAAATAATTTCAAGTGGTTCCTATGTGCCCCAACACACTTGCCACAAGAACAAACAGAGTAAATGCAGCCTCGTTCTTTACCTGGCAAAATGTCTACGTGGAGCATAATAGTTGTTTAGCTATAGAAATAGACTACACTAAAAATAGAAAAATGTCTGGAGCCCAGGGTTCAAAGAAAACATTTTTTTTTTCACACTGATTGAAAACTCACAAAGCACTGTGTAGCTTGAGCTATGGTTTCAATACAAATGATATCTGAGAGTGTTCGGAAAATTTCAGCTGTGGCCTCTTGACAGAGATAATTCAGTTTCTGTACTCCAACAACTTCAGTCTCTTTCACTAAGTGTTTTAAAAACAACTCAGAATCTGATAGGCTAGATCTAATCCTCATACAGGTCAATATTGACCAGTTTGTAGATTTCAGGTTTCAGAGTGAATGTGTTTTCTTCTTTGACGGGCATTGTAAACCTTGATTGAGACTCTGGATCGCCTATGGGGGTTTATCCAGGAGCTGCAGAGGCTGCCATGGAGGTCCAGGGAGCCCCTGCTCTAGCTAACTAGGTGTTTGCAGTTGTTCTGTCTCCTTGGTCAGTGGGTGGAGTGAAGTATCCTTACTATGTCCTTGTGTTCACTCCACCAATATGTGTGTGTGACAGATGGATTTTGAGAGTGAACAAGTGGATCCACTGGCTTCTGTCATTTTGCCTCCAAACTTACTTGAAAACTTAAGCCAAGAAGATTCTGTATTAGTTAGAAGAGCACAGTTTACTTTCTTCAACAAAACTGGACTTTTCCAGGTAAGCATCAATTAAATAATTATTTTTCAATGGCAACTGATGTTTCTTTGTTAAAAAATAAAAATTAAACTTCATATTTCTTCCAAATACATCAGAAGGTATTAGAAAAATCAATCTATTTTATTTTCAAAATAAAAAATATTTTTCATAAGCAAAAGGTTTTAATACAATTGTCTAAAAATTTATTTTAGAAAATAATGTGCTTATTAATAGGATAAGTTTATTCCAGTTTTTAAAATTAATAAAAATAGGCTAAAAGTTGCATAATAGAATTAAAAATTGAGTTACTAAAGAAGCTACTATTTATTATTCCCTTTGTTAAATATTTTACATTCCTCAGTCCTGTAGGCCTTCAGAATTAAAGAAATTGCACACCAAAGGAAAGGACTTTTTTTCAATTCAGCAGGAAGCACTGTTTATATAATGAGCAGCATTCTTGGCTTTAATCAGTTTTCCCATTAGTATTTCAAGAGACCTTTGGCTTTCACACATCCGCAGAGTAGGGTGGCATTGTGCTGAGCACATATTATCATTTTTATTGGCTTTAGTTCTAGATACTAGAAGGTCCGCTGCCAGCAAACGCTGGTGACCTCTGATTGCCTTTAAGAGTACAGCCCATATAAAGCAGTTTCACTGCTTTTCTTAAAACCTGTTACATTCAAGATACCACAGTATGTACAACAGTGTGATCTGTATAAGAGAAAATCATGTCTCAAGGGCAGGAGAATAGAGAAGAATGGCCAGGTAGATTACAGATTTAAAAAAAAAAAATGCCATGGAAGCATTGATAGAAAATCGCTTCAAAAATTTAAAATTTTACCTGTGAACCTTTTAGGTACAAGGTATATAAAACTTTTGAAATTCATATAAATATCACTTATTAAAAACATGATTTACCCTGAGGCTCCTATAACTATAGACGCATACAACTGTATTTATTAAAATTATTGTAATTTGAGATTTATAGTGATGTCACCTTAAAAACAATATTAAAATACGCAGGAGACATCACAAAATGTGGGTGATGCTAGGCACAGTGGTGAATGCCTGTAATCCTAGTGGCTTGAGAGGCTGAAGCAGGCAGGTCACAAGTTCAAAGCCAGCCTCAGCAACTTAGCAAGGTCCTAAGCAATTCAGTGAGACCCTGTCTCTAAATAAAATATTTTAAAAAGGGCTTTTGACATGGCTCATTGGTTAAGTAGCACTCCTGGTTTCAATCCCCTTTACCAAAAAAAAAAAAAAAAAGTGATACAAAGAAGGAGGTCTGGTTCATAGGAGTAGTTTAGGAGAGTTCTTAGAGTGAGAAGGATCTGTCACTCTTTTCAGTCTTCTCATTTTTCCTTCTCATTTGGCATCTCCCTATCAAAGTTGTTATTAGAAAATGTATTTTTGGTTTTTTAAAATAAATTAACAGCAGAATGAAATACTGCAAGTTCCATAGTACTAACATAATAGGCAAGATATAAGTATATCCATATGTACATACATACATACATACATACATACATATGTATAAGCATAATAGACAAGATACATAGATATATGTACATTATATCTATCCTAGAATAATAGGCAAATATATAGGTATAGATGCATTTTAAATAGAAGTCTGGTATCACCAACCAATAGCTAGCATTTTGATAGTGATAACTATATAAAATTAATAAAAAGCTCTATTTTGGATGCTGAATTTTGCCTGGAATTTAGGACATTTTACAGCTATTCCAAAACAGCTGATTTATAAGCTGTTGTATGGAGAGAAATTTAGGAGATTTGACAGGAAACACAAGGGAGGAAAATAAAACAGAACTTGCTGGAGAGACAGCCTGTTTGAGTCATTTTGCAGGACAGGTTCCACTGCAGTGAAGTCTGCAGGTGCTGGCATGTAGACAGCACAGAAGAAGGTGAAAGTTCTGCATGGGACTTGCACCCAGTGGAACTACATTTAGGTATAGGTTAGTAAACAGGCCAGGTTCTTGGCATGGATGTAAAAGAGAAATTGCTTTTTATTTTTCACACCAAATTTCCTTCATACTTCTCTAAAGGAAAGAAAACTTCATCTGTTTTCTAGAGTAGGGAAATGAACTAATTGTTTCACACTTGTTCATGAGTTTATATTATTTATGGGTTTGCATTGTTTCAGATATGAACTGGCTGACATCAGTTACCCCGATCACGAATGCAGTTTTATGAGTACTACCTTATTATACTGGCTCATAATGCCCCCTCAATGTATTTATTGTGATAAGGGAAGTAGCACAGCTCCTTCAGGAAAGCCAGCAATTTTATGTTATAAACAGGATGCTCTAGAGTCGAAGATCTTAAGTGTAAAAATTGCTGACAGTTATTTTGGAGCACAGAAGCAAAATAAAAGTGTGTACTTCTGACTAAGGCACGCAATTTTTTTTTCCCCGAAGGATGTGGGACCCCAAAGAAAAACCTTAGTGAGTTATGTGATGGCATGCAGTATTGGAAACATTACTATCCAGGATCTGAAGGACCCTGTTCAAATTAAAATCAAACACACAAGAACTCAGGTAAGAAAAAGCTACCAGTTGTGATTGAGCAGTGCAAACTATTTCAGAGAATTGTGGGCCTTTTCCTTTTACATGATAGTAAGTAACTGGTACTTTTTATGAGGGCAAGAATCAGTGTTCCAGAAGGGAGGCCACCAGTCAGGCAGTGCTCTGCGGTCACCATGAGTATCATCAGCTTGGGGCATGGTGTGGGAATTAGTCTTACCTAGGACTCATGAACCAGAAAGCATGGGAGTGAAGAAAAAGATAACTGTTCTTAAAAAATGACACACATCATTTCAAATAAATTAGATCTAATATCTTGCACCATTCTACCATAGGAGGTTCTGGTTGTGTCTCTATATTTTTAAAGTAAAAAGTGACTGCAGCTGGGAATGTCAAGGAGCAACAGGAGGGAAGATTTATTCTCTAAGGGGTTAGCAGTTGCTTGAAATCTTGGCAAATGTCACTTCTCTTGCCTTATTGAACCTGTCCCCAGTGCCCTGGAAACAGGTTTTCCCACTTTTTTAGAGGGTCCAGTGATGATCCTGCCATTTATCTGGCAGGAAGAGAGCAGACAGATAAGGGCTAACAATTGGAGTTAAGTCATTGCAGAATCCTTGGAGAGGATCCTTGGAGACCTTCTCCAAAGAGACCTTGTGGCCTCTTTGTTTATCAGCCCCTTTCTCTATAAAGGAGGATTTTTTTAAAAACTGTGGTGGAATATACTTGACAAAATTTACCATTTTATCATTTTTAAATGTGCGGTTCAGTAGCATTAAGTGTATTCACATTGTACCATCCGTCTCTACAAGAATTCCATCTTTTTGGACTGAAATTCCATTCCCATTAAACACTACCTCCCTATTCTTGCCTTCCAAGAACCTCTGGTAACCGCTGCTCAACTCTAGATCACCATTAATTTGATTCTTCTAGGTACCTCAAAAAGGGGAATCGTACAGTATTTGTCCTTTGGGACAATAAATTGATTATTTCACTTAGCAGAATGTCTTCAAGACATAAAGCAGCATCTGTCATCAGAATTTCTTTTTCTTTTTAGGGTCAGATAATATTCCATTATATGTATATATCAGAATTTATGTATCCATTTGTCCATCAGTGGACATTTGAGTTGCTTCTAGTTTTTGGTTATTGTGAAGAACACAGATGTATAAATATCTCTTTGAGTTGCTTCTTTCAGTTTGTTTCTGCATATATCCAGACACAAAGAAGAATTTTGAAGAATGTGAAATTATAATATAAAGGGCTTTGCTAAATATTAGGAATGGTAGTGGATGGATTCAGTATTTAATGATGGGACATGTAGTAACCTGCAGGAAGAAAAAAAAATAGGTGATATGATTCCTCATAAGGTTTCTAAGGTTATAGCTGATTTTCCCTTGGGATCTCCATTCTGAGAGAATATCCTCTATAGATGACCTCAGGTTTTCAGGTTGTGCTGGCACATCTCATGCTGATCTATTTCTTTGTGAACCCTGTAGCATTTTCTTCTTTGCCACATTTCAATCATGTGCTTTTTGAGTTATTTTAAACACAATTTCACATGTTTATTCTTGTGTTAATATAGGAAGTGCATCGTCCCATCTGTGCCTTCTGGGATTTGAACAAAAACAGTAAGTGTTAAAATACTGGTTGTCTTAATATAGATAACAACGAATTTTAAACACCATTAGACACCTCCATTTCCTTTAATTCCACTCCAAACCACAATGAGTCACAATGTAAGTGTAAGAGCAACTGAACTGCAGATTTTAGTTTATATCACTTAGGAAGTCAATTCTAGTTTATGTAACTTTTTAGACACTACAAGAAGAAATGGGCATACTTGACTTTTTTTTTTTTTTAATGAAACAACTCTTGATTTCAGTCATTTGTCAAATACGGTATAGACTTTTGTTGTGACTATTAGTTGAATGTAGGCACACACTTGACGTTATTCTTCTAGGATACATAGGAAGCTATTACTTGATATGCACAAGTCATCTGATTAGAAACCCAGCTTCCATTTCAAGTTAGGGTGGGTGGAGAACACACCAAGGAAGATAAAAGATAGGGATGGTGATAGTGGACGTGGATTACCGGAAAGAAATGAGCAGCTTCCACAACACCACAAACAAATAGAAAGAGTCTGTCAAAGTAAAGGAATAAGCACATCATTAGGCTGCAGCTGTGGAAATCTCCTTGAGGGGATTTTCCTCAAGCATAAGTGATGAACTTCATAGGTCTGTACCTTCCACGTCCCCTTCCATCAGGGTCCCCCACTGGAATGATCGTGGCCAAATCTGTTCCACCAACATGCTGGCTACTTTGTTAAATGCCAGTAATATTCATTTTTAGAGACAGAGAAAGACAGAGAGTGCCCCAAAGTGGTCAAACCTCTTTTTTATTTTGGACAATCCTTGTTCTAGCTGGACAGTTTTGTGGTTTGGTTGCACAGTTTGGAGACCCTGATTTCATCATAGACATTTGTTAAATATTACCTTATATCTTTACATGCTATTCAAATAAATGGATCTCATATTTTGATCCTAGGAGTTGTTCATACTTATATTATACTATTAAAGTCAGAAAGGATACACTCAAACCACACGCAGTTAAGTCATCACCATGCTTGACTGCTGTGCTCATAATCACATATTCTAAGAAAGCAGACCTCCTTTGTTCTTAGGGCTTCACAAAAATACAGACCCATCCTAGGGAGCAGTATTGGTCTCCAGAAAGTTCCTTAGCACGTAGCACATTTGAAAAGGAGCATTCTTTATAGAAACTTTTTTTTTTCAATTATGTTACAATTAAACTCAAACATTTGCAGAACCCCCAAACACTCCAGTAGAACACAATGAAACACAGGTTCCACAGATTCACTGTCTAGATTGTCTCTAACTGCCTGCTCAGCACTAGCCTCCTATGAGTCCAGGATCCAGGATTATTTTACATATTGGTAACTTTATGAATGGCATTCATTGCACAGATAAGCTCAGTTAAGACAGACCAGATGAGGCTGAGGCAGATTTCCTGAAAGTCATCCCATTCCTTATGGAGAAGATGCTGTTGCTCTCACTCTCTTTATTGATTCCTCCCACAGAAAGTCTTGGAGGATGGAACACGTCAGGGTGCATTGCGCACAACAGTTCAGATGCAAGCGAGACCATCTGCCTGTGTAACCACTTCACACACTTCGGAGTCCTGATGGTGAGGGGGGTTTCTAAGCTCATTTTGACATCATGTAATTTCAGAAGGCATACTTCTTTTCTTTTTTTTTTTAAACTTTTCTTTTTAGATTTTGTGTTTGAAGAATTTTTTTTCCTGATCATGCCCATCTATACCCTAAATCTTAATTCTTAAAGAAAAATCTAATTAGTAGAGAACATATATTAAAAATATAAGAAAGTAATTATAGAACTCTACGTGTTTTTTACAGTATTGACAGTGATGACAGATAATCCCAGAAATAAGAAAATCTCTGTTAAGAGAGAAATAGAGTCTTGGAAACAGGGAGACAGGAATAAGAGGGAGGGAAAGTTAAAGAAGAAAATGTTGGAAGAGAACTGTGAATTGTTTGATCAAAATTTTTCTTATGTTATGACTCAGTCTGTCATTCTGTACCAGGCTCTGTGCCAGGGAATCTTCCTCCTGGAGATGGCAGCATCTCAGAAGAGATTAGTGACTTGTGTTAAATGGAGACCTCAGTGATGATGGGCGTGGTGTTTCTCTGGCTCTCAGGCCTTGTATCATTCTTTTCTTCTTTTCTTCTTTGCTTTTTTCCCATGACTCTGTTTTTTTTTTTATCTTGTTGGCCAGCCTGCTCAACAATTTTAAACAAAAATTAGAGCACATCTTTGTTTTTTTAATCCCACAAATTTTCACCCCATGTCCAAGGACTTATTTATATTTATCCATAGACTTGCATTTTCCCTTTTATCTGGTACACTAGTGTTTTTGCACACACTTCTGGAATCCAGACTGCCATCCAGATTATCACAGCCATTGTTTCTGTATGGTTTCTGTAAAGGAACCAGCCACATTTGTTTTTAAATAGGAGATGGGAGTAGTGCAAGCTGAGTCAAAAAGCTTTTCCAATTGAAATCACAGACATGAGGTTGTGTTTATCCCCCTCCTTTAAATCTTAGGCACTTCTTCCTGTGGGGACAGGGAGGAAGTGGTGAGGAACTGTGGGATGTAGCATTTGGCTCATGAATATACTTGGCCTATGCAAATGGCCAATGTCACATGGCAACTCTGCAAATTGTAATTTTCCTGACAACCCAGGACATTAGTGCTCTCAGGGATGAGAGCAAATCATTGAAAAAGGTGGTGGCAAGTCACAGAAAGTAACTTTTTAATGTTCTCAAAATACAAATATTTTTTCTTTACTGCCAGAGCATGAAAATGAATAATTAAACTGTAAAATGTTTTTCCCTAAGCAATCTAGAAAGAAAATTATATTTCTTTCCATATTCTTTTTTCTTTAAAAGTGAAAAGAGAAAGTTTTCGGAAAATTTTCAACAATTATTCATTCAGGTATATGAGCTTTAACTTAATTCATTGAAATATTTTAACCGTGTGTGTGTGTGTGTGTGTGTGTGTGTGTGTGTGTACATAATTGCAGGTATTGAGTCTAATATTAGGTAAATAGATAATAGTTATAAAAGAGAATATTAAGAGATAGTTCATATGCAGTCAGATTTTGGCTACACATTATTTTAAGTGGTCAGTTCCTTCATATATTATTTAAATTTTATTATGAGTTTATGATTGTACATTAGTTTTCCTGTTGCCATCTGATTAAACAGTTAATTTTTCCATATATATATATATATATATATATATATATATATATATATATGGAAATATGCATCTTTAGCATTATCTTTCCATTTTATACCTTGGCTGTTTTTATAGGATTATAAATTGCTTTAAGAAAATCTTGCCAAAATTCATCCGTTCTGGCCATGTGTTCATATCCTTTCAGCTTTTCCAGACCACCAAGATTTTGCTAAGAGTTTTTCTTAATTTACAAACTCTTTATTCATTTGCATAGATTTTTCTGAGTCTAAATTTTTCCCATGACACATTCACCCAGAATCATATCTTCCAATCTACAAATGTGTGAGGGATTGAATGTCCTCTACTACATTTCTCTGTAGTAAAACTGACTTTCATATTTTGAACATTAGTGTATTTTCTTGTTGGCTGGTTCAGAGGGATAAATATTTCCATTCTCCAAAAGTTCAAAACAGCATGAGAATTGCGTGTAAATGGGAATCAGTAAAGAGACTTAATTTTTATTTTAAATTTTGGTTTAATTGAGGTTTGCCAGTCAATTGCCTTATCTAGATGGCAACAGAGTTTTTTTTAAGAGGTAGTGACATATCACATGGAGGTCCCTCAAGACTGTGATTCCGTTCTCTGGCCTATGCTGCCCTGCAGTGACTGAACTGTGGTGAAGTAGCCTGTCCAAAGTCAAGTGGCACTGACTTAGAACTTCCTACAAGGTACCATGGGAATCCCATGTGCCCCAGTGTTTTGAGGAATTCTTGAATTAATAAGATTGGAAAGGACCCCTCTGACTTCCAGTACCTGCTTCTGCCGATTTCCATCACTTTGTGCATAAAGATACTATACCTGTTCCTTACTGCATCAGTCATACCTGGAATTCACTCTCCTTTTTTTTTTTTTCATTTTGCACAAATGTACACACATAGAAATACCAGTGGCTCAATGCCTATGTGAGGAGCAGATTTCTCTTTTTTTAAAAAAAATATTTTTAGTGAAAGAAAATTTTTAAAAAGGTATTATGGACATAATGCCTTTATTTGTTTGTTTGTTTGTTTGTTTAATGTGGTTCTGAGGATCAAACCCTATGCCTCATTGCATGCTTGGCAAGCAAACATTCTACAACTGAGCTCCAGCCCTAGCCCAGGAGCAGATTTTTTGACACTTGGTGAATATTAAAGAAAAATAACATAGAGGAGGAAAAAATTTTGTTATAAGACCTAAAAGTTTAAACTGGATGTTTAATAAATCCCTTCTCTAAGAATGCTGAATTTTTGAACATTTGCATGATAGAAGTGACTTTCTCCTCCAACTAGGATTGAGTAGTTGATCTTAAGATTTATCCCTATTTCATTCCCCTATTTAAGGAGAAAAGAAGGTTTTCCTACCAGGTTTAGACTTTGCAGGTCTACCTAAGTATATTGAAATTAATGCTTCATAGTAACCTGCTGGAAAGTGTGCTAATCTGAAAGAATATGTCCACTCCACTACAACCCGAACACTGTAAATTGCCTCCTTTCAGGTCTATAGGGATCAAAATGCTGTGACCCAAAACCTCTTAGTGGCTTCTCATTTATGAAGAATAAATAAATAACCCACCACAACTTCTGCACACCAAGCTGTAAACTGACCACAATTAAAAGCCTCAACACCATCCTTAGAGCCACACCCTCGTAGCCACTACCAGCTTCTGGTTGTCTCCTGGCTGAGCACCTTCAACCCAGCAAGGAATCTAAGGGTAGGAGGGTCTGGCCACATGGGCTCCCGTGGCCTCCCTTTGTACTCATGCCCCAGTCCTGTAAATATTATAAATGGGTCTAATAACATTATGCATGGCAGCTACCTCCTCTCCAATTTCAGTTGGGGGACCTGTAGTTTTATTCTTCACCTTAAGCTGGAATTCAAGGAGCTTGGGTAAGAAAGTAATGATAAAAATACAATGTGCACCTGCTTTGGTCAGTAATTTTCTTTCACATAGTGACCCACAAGAGTGCAAAAGATGGCAATCTTAACATTGACGTCCATTGTTGGGTTATCCCCTGAGATTCTGTATGATGTTAGCAGTGAACTTTTAGTGGCACAGAGCACCACTCTGGAAGAATTCTTAACAGCTTCTTCCCATGTCTTGTGCAGGACCTTCCAAGAAGCGCCTCACAGATCGACGCAAGAAACACGAAAGTCCTCACGTTCATCACCTACGTCGGCTGTGGAGTATCTTCCATCTTTTCAGCGGCAACCCTGCTGACATATGTTGCTTTTGAGTAAGTATTTATCTGTCTGCCAAGCCCAGTGCTAACTGTTCCAAACGTGAAAGAGAAAATTGCTTTGGCTCTTGAAAACAATTATATACTCTGTGATTCATGTCGGGTGGTTCAGTTTTCAAGTTCAGGTTTCTCCTAGTATCACACAACATGAATTTTCCAGCTATGAATCTTAATTTGTAATCACCATACTTCTGTTTATAAGATGGTTTCACTGTAGGTTAAAGATGATTGACATTTAAGTAAATACAAAGTGTAAAAAGTACTTTGTACTTTCTTCATTGTACAGATGAAAATATTTTTAAAAGATGAAGGTATTTGCCTCAGTCCTGAAACAGGAATTTTTTTTAAAAAAAATAGGAGGATCTTTAATTCATTAAAAATTAAGAAACTTAGGGGCATTAGTTTTTTAATAAAAATGTCATTCTTGTACTAGAATTTTTCCTGGATTAAAAAAAAAAGATATCTGAAAACCAGTTGGGAATTTTGTGCACAATTGGAAACAGTTTTGCAATAAAATTACTATTCAAAAAGTTTTTATAGGCTGCCAAATACTCATAAATATCTTTAGCCCTCTGCATAGTGGAACCATGTCATAAAGATGGGGCTTTCTCAACTATTACACAGTTGCAGAAGATATGAAGTTACCTCCATGCTCAAAAAAATAATAAATTAATAGAAGGAAAATCAACAGAATAGAGGTGAGGGGTCAGGAAGGGGAGGAGGGTAGGGTAGCCAGTAGGAACTGGTGTTGAAATGGAGCAAATTATGTGATATTTGCATTTATGAATATGTTAGAATGAACCCCACAATTATGTAAAACTACAGTGCTAAATAAAATAGTAATAAAATAAAAAATTTAAAAATTATTTACAATATGTGTTCTTGTGTGTGTATTTTTCTCCCTTTTTAGAAAACTGCGAAGGGATTATCCCTCCAAGATCCTGATGAACCTGAGCACAGCCCTGCTGTTCCTGAACCTGACCTTCCTCCTGGATGGCTGGGTCACCTCCTTCGGCATGAAGGGACTCTGTGTTGCAGTGGCTGCTCTCCTCCACTTCTTCCTTCTGGCAACCTTTACCTGGATGGGGCTGGAAGCCATTCACATGTACATTGCTTTAGTGAAAGTATTCAACACTTATATTCGCCGGTACATTCTAAAATTCTGCATCATAGGCTGGGGTAAGCCTCCTAAAATTTTTTTGACTTTGTTCTTTCTATCATGAAAATTGCCCAATTCTCATAAGAAAATCCAGATTTCTAAAGAACAATGCTGTTGAGAGAAACTTCAGCATTGTGAGTTATGTGGATTAGAGATACATATCCAAAGGAAGGAATCCTCCGAACTATCTTTAAAAACCCTTCTACAGGCTGGGCACAGTGGCGCATGCCTGTGATCCCAGCAGCTCAGAGGCTGAGGCAGGAGGATTGTGAGTTCAAGGCCAGCCTCAGCAATCTGGTGAGGACCTAAGCAATTCAGCAAGACTGTTTCTAAACTAAATACAAAAAAGGGGGGGTGGGTGGCTAGTGATGTGGCTCAGTGGTTAAACCCCCTGGTTTCATGGGTTTAATCCCTGGTACCAAAAAAAAAAAAAAAAAAACTTCTTCTACAGTACTCACTAAATTCAGGATTAAAGGTGAAGCCTTAGCTCCTGACTCACCACCAACTCATTTCCTGAGCTCAGAGCCAGCCCACCCAAGTCTGAAGCAGTAGCAGCTGGCCAACCGCGGCACATTTCCATTATACCTCCTGATATAAAGGCCAGCTGAGACTCCTCACTGTACTCATCCCTAAACACATGCCCATGTTGTGGAAACCAGAGGAAGAATGTGAGTTTTGTGTGTGCAGCTAGGAGACTTACAGAATTTTTGCCTTGAACTCCATCAGACATAGAGTGGTTGTGTTAGTCTCTTTGGAATTATCTCGTCTGGCTTCTTTCTTTGTCTGGGTTGTATTATTGGGCCTAACCTTTAGAACTTTCTCAAAAATCATTTTCAAATGATAATATAGAAGCCTGAGACATTCCCAAGATGTTCAGCGCCCCCTTAGGAGGCAGTAAAAGCTTTGTTCAGGGAATTGGGCTGGCATACATTTCCCCTGTAAATACATACATGAATATGGTATTGATTCTCTAGAGAGAAAAGACAAGACTGTAAAGATTTTATATCCCTGTTGTTCCCCACACACTAATTTTTCTAAAGACTTTGCCTTATCCAAAAAGGAGGGAATTAGCTGCCATTGTTGTATCTGCTTGAACTCTGATGGCCTAATGAAAACCACATTGGCTCATGCTGGATTCGATAGAATCAGGTTTGGGACCTCTAGTAGGTTCAGCTAAGCAAATAGAACTTTAATTGTTGCCAAATGAGTTTCATGTTCCACTCCAAGAAGAGACTTTGTGGTTGGTTCTAACCAAGTTGCCCTTCTAAGAAGTTTGTCTGCTGTGGTTGGGGGAGGGGGGCTCTTCTGCTTCCTTGCGATTGTCCATCTTAAAAATCAAGTTCCAGATACTTCTGAAGAGCTGTGTGTGTCCTGTCTTTTTGTAACAGGTTTACCTGCCTTGGTGGTGTCCATTATTCTGGCAAGCAAAAATCAAAATGAAGTCTATGGAAAAGAAAGCTACGGGAAAGAGCAAGGTGATGAATTGTAAGTGATATGAACTTGGGGAACCTACCTGTGAGGGACATACTCCTGTTTCCTTAAACTTAGTATTACGTTCCCATGCCAGAGTGAGGCTCTCATTTTAAAAGGTTTTAGTTCATTTGCATCACATTGTCAAGGTCTCTGCTACTCTGCAGATGGGTTTATTTGAATGTCCTGATGTGTTCAAGCTGCTTTTCTTTTCTTTTTTAAAAACATAATCAATTAATTAATTTTCACTAGGTATATATGACAGCAGAATTGATTCTGATTCATTGTACACAATTGCAGCACAACTTTTCATTTCTCTGGTTGTACACAATGTAGTGTTGCACTATATGTATAGTCATACATGTACCTAGGGTAATGGTGTCCATCTCATTTTACCATTTTTTCTACCCCCACTCCCCCTCTGCACCCCTTCCTCCCCTTTGCCCCATCAAAGTTCCTCCATTTTCCCATGCCCCGCCCCCATTATGGATCAGCATCTGCTTATTAGAGAGAACATTGGGCCTTTGGTTTTTTGGGATTGGCTTATTTCGCTTAGCATGATATTCTCCAACTCCATCCATTTACCTGCAAATGCCATAATTTTATTCTCTTTTAATGAAGAGTAATATTCCTTTGTGTATATATACCACAGTTTCTTTAATCATTCATCTATTGAAGGGCATCTAGGTTGCTCCAACAGTTTAGCTATTGTGAATTGAGCTGCTATGAACATTGATGTGGCTGCATTACTATAGTATCCTGATTATATTTTTATTTTATTTATTTTATTTTTTAAGGAGGACAACAGATTTAGTTTTATTTCAATCAAATCACAACACTTTCTTTTCCCCCAAAATATGGAACACTTCATGTCATCCTTGTGCAGGGGCCATGCTAATCTTCTCTGTATCGTTCCAATTTTAGTATATGTGCTGCCGAAGCGAGCACTAGTATGCCGATTTTAAATACTTTGGGTATAGACCAGGGAGTGGGATAGCTGAGTCAAATGTTACCAGCATTTGACCCAGCTATCTAGCTGCTTTTCTATGCTAACATGATACTCCTCCGTCATCGGGGAGTTTAGAAGCAGGATAGGTACTGCCTCCTCCCTCTAGGAGACCCATCCTATTTGAGAAAAGTCCACAGTAGTCCTACCTCCTGAGGCCCACACAGATCTTCAGGAGAGTTCAGTAGCAGTGTCTTACAGTGAATGACTCAATGCCAATGTGAGTGCTATGGAGAAATGGAGAAGATGGAGAATAGGGAGTTCTTGAATAATTTGGAAAATTTTCTTCACACAATGAGCTTGCTGAACTTCAGGTCTTCTAGTATTTGGTTAGGGGAGTGTGCTCTTGTATCTTATCAGTGATACCACGCTGCCCCGTGTCTATGGATTAGATGGAAGCTGAGTGAGCAAAGAGCGTTCTCCTTTTGCAAGGAGGTCCATAACACCACTGTCCATGCACAATTCCTGCCTGGGTCACACAGCTGCATCCTGTGGGTGGTCTCCTATGCACCCTTCCCTCATGGTCTTCCTTTCTTTCACATTTCTAACATGACACTGGAAATACCCCACAGGAACTAGGGGGAATGTTGGACCTAGGTGGAAAATTTTAGGATTAGAGGGACTTCTATGTGTAATGAAAAGTTTACCTCAGGGATAAGTAGTGCTATTTGTGACCTTAATAAAATATGTTGCAAATAAAATAAGTAAATGAAATAAGTTCAAAATAAAGGAACTAAAAATGTGTTAAAATTTCCAAATAAAGGAACTTATAAAGTATGTTAGCCAGTTCTTGCAGGACGTTAAAGTGCCTCTTAGTAATTTGCTGTGACATCAACAATTTCTCATTTATTGAGTATTTACTATATGCTAGTAGGTTCTAGGATCCCAAGATGTTCAAGACAGCTTTTGCCTCCGTGGAGGATAAGCTCCAGTGTGGAATACTCCAAAATGACGACCATTTACACTTGAAGTTAAAAATAAACTCAGTTACATTAAATCATTCATCCAACTGTACCTAAGAATTTCCATAGCATAAATTGGGTACTCAGGCATCCACACATTATAATGCAGGTCAACTTTACCCATAGAATACTTTACAGAAGTAGTTTTCAAATTCATTTCATTTTCTTATCTGTATGTCATTCTGAGTGTTAAGTATATAGTATATCCTTCTTCATCCAATAAGAATGTTTTATAATTAATGTAAATTTTATAATTGTACACGATAAGTGTCCATGTAAGAATGTCAAAATTTTATAAGGTGTTGTCCCAACTAGACTAGTCATATTGATAGGAATTACTTTGCTGTAATGAATCCATATTTAGTTGTGACTTAAATAAGGAAGAATTAACTTCACGTGATAAGAAATGTGGACATGGCATTCAGTGACACTGAATTTGTGTTTACAGAGTTAGTGGCCAACAATTTCAGAGCTTTCTGGGCCTCTAGCTCATTTTCATGTTTAAATACAAAGAAGAAATAGGGGCCTTGCCAACTGAGACTCTTAAGAAAAAGCTATCCCCAAAGTCCCTTTGCAGATTTCTAGTTCCATATTATTTTGTAGAAAAATCTCACAGGGATGCCCCATAACAACAATGAGCAAAAATGAGTGCTTCAAGTTCTCATTCTTAGAGCACAAAGCACACTAGAGAAAAGTTCCAACATAGTTTGGGGTGAGCCAACCAAGCGTGTTCAAATACCTAATTAGAATTCAAGAAGCCACTTTGTTTTCATTTTAATGTTGACTGAACTAATTAGATATTAAGATGGTGGCCATCCAAAACCAAACAAAAAACCGTCTATGAAAAGATCAAAGAAGAAAGTGAGGGCCAGGGAAGTGAAATGACTTCCCAAAGATTTTTAAGAGAGAAGTCTGCAGTCAGCCCAGGGAAGCCAAGAGAAGTCTTAAGTAAACAGTCTAAGGTAATAAATCTCTTTTCCTTTCTCATTTCTTCTTCTCTCTCTGAGCTGTTGGATTCAGGACCCAGTGGTATTTTACGTGGCCTGTGCCGGGTATTTTGGAGTCATGTTTTTCCTCAACGTCGCCATGTTCATTGTGGTGATGGTGCAGATCTGTGGGAGGAATGGCAAGAGAAGCAACCGGACCCTGAGAGAAGAGGTTTTGAGGAACCTGCGCAGCGTGGTCAGCCTGACCTTCCTGCTGGGCATGACTTGGGGTTTTGCTTTCTTTGCCTGGGGACCCTTAAATGTAGCTTTCATGTACCTCTTCTCCATCTTCAACTCACTGCAAGGTAAGATATACGGTACCTGAACAATTTCAACTTTCTTATGTTTATAAACAGCTTCCTTTTGGACTTTCTTTTGTCACTGTTCTTAGTATTTTGCACAAGTATAGGCACAAATGGGAACAAAAAAAGGTCATTTAAAAGGTCTGGAGTGATCAATTAAGTGTCAGTTTGCTTTTTTTTTTTTTTTTAAATTAGTGATGTATCCCAAGCACCTGTGGCAGTGCCTGAGATAGTAGGTGCTCAATGAACATATGCTAATGCATGAATGAACATGGAGCAGGAAGGTATCTAGCTGAGCCCCCAATGGCAAGTTTAAAGGGCACCAACACTTTTTATCTTCTTTCCATTGGGCTGAGTATTACTCTCGATGAACTTGTCCGATGTTGCTTTACAATGTGTGGCCAGATAAGCATTTGGAAATACGTAGGGACAGAATCATTTCACACTTGAATCCTTGACTCCTTGGATTTCAAAATACATACCAACTCTTATTCAGAAACTTTGTGTCTTTTCATGAGATATGGCAGGTAGTTTATTTTTTTGCGGGGGAGGACGGCAATATTGGGGGTTGAACCCAGGGCATAGTGCATGCCAGAGTCAGGCAAGCATTCTGCTACTGAGCTACTTCCCCAGCCCACAGTTAGTTCAGTGTAACAAACACGTGCCAATGGCCTTCTGTATACAGAAACTCATGGCTTCCCTCCAGGAGCTTACAGTCAGATTTCTGATTCCACAACAGTATGCCCTAGTATAGTCTATAATGTATTTAACTTATTTGGGGGAGGGGTTGAGTACCGGGTCACGAAGCCACATCCCCAGCTCTATTCTAATTTGTATTTTATTTAGAGACAGGGTCTCTAAATGAATTGCTTAGTGCCTTACTGTTGCTAAGGCTGGCTTTGTACTCGCAATCTTCCTACCTCAGTCTCCTGAGCTGCTGGAGTGTGCCACCGTGCCTGGCAATATATTTAATTTTTAAGATTAGTTGTATAAAAATTACTCTTAATTAAATGACATTCATTGAGATATCAGATGTGCTTGTGTTTGACAGAACTCCCCAGGTCAGAAACATGATGAGTTGAACACCTCAAAGAAATTGGATGGGTTCTCCCTATAAGTATATTCTGAGAAAATTTTAATTTACGCACAGGACCGTACTGTTCACTGCTTGTCTTCCTAGGTCCATTACTAGCTCATAAATGGAATAAAAAAAATGTCAACAAGTAGGTTCTTGATGATTGTCAAATGGATTGCTGGGTGAAAGAAGGGACCAACTCTGGGCCTATAAATCCAGCCTGAGACTCTTCTGGCATAAATATACATTAATTAGTTCAGCAAATTTTGTTCGAGTTCACTCTCCCATAACAGAAGACAAATACAGGCTTGTTATCATTAGTAAATAGAATAGTAAGCTCAAGGGCATCTCCAAAAGCTGGAAACCGAGTATGTAGCAGATAAGTACATCTCCACTGGGATCTCCTGCGAAGTGAGTATTCCTCTATTTAATCTCTATAATATACGCCATCAAAGTGCCTACATAAATATTGACAGAGGTGTCCATTGACATTAAAAATTCCATGGTTTTACGTTTCAGGATTGTACATGAAAGGCCCAGGGATCTGCCAGCCCCACCTTGGTTTTGCTTTTAGAATTTCCTGGCGATGTCAGCAACCTCCAGCAGCTGCAGTTGTCTGTGCGGCTCTGTTTCCATTAGGGAGAACTGGGATGTTTTATTTTTCTCAGCATGGGTCTCCTGTCAGGAGGGAAAAATGTTGTAAACCATCATCAAGTCAGGGTTCTTCATAAATCACCGACTTTTAAGACTGATTTTAAATTATATAAATTCAGAACAGATTTCTGCACATCCAGTGATATTAAAAACACCTCCTAAAAGGGAAATTTAAATTAAAAAGCAGTGATACAGAGCGCATGTGCCTACCAACAACTTCTTACCAGCCAGGCAGTACAAAAATGTCTTGGGATGCTATGGAAATTTACTTAATGGTTTTTATTAGTGAGTCATTCTTCCAGTTGAGGCTTTGTTGTCAGGAGTCTGTGCTTTATTGAAAGAAGCTTGTAGGAGCTAGACAGTTGGGCTTTTGTTGATAGTAGTGTTGTTTTATGGTCCTGGGGATCGAACCCACTGAGCTACATCCCCAGCCCTTATACAGCTTAAAGAAACAACTGCTGGAGATGGAGGTTCAAGCCTGAAATCTCAGCAACTCCACTCGGGAGGCTGAAGCAGGAAGATCAGAGAATTAAGGCCAGCCTCAACAACTTAGTAAGACCCTAAGCAATTTAGCAAGACTCTGTCTCAAAATAAAAAATAAAAAAGGTTGTGATTCTGTGGTAAACTACCTTTGGGTTCAATCCCAAGTGAGAATTTTTAAAAAAAGAAAGAAAGAACAGAAGTAAGAAAAGAAATGATACTACTAAGTGACTGTAAGATTTTTTTTTTTCTTTTGACTGTAAGATTTAAGATGAACCCAGGTAGTACTTTGGCAAACTATGTCTATTGCCTTTCTGGCTAGCCTTTTTATCTTATCCAACTTTTTACTTGGGACCTTTGCTCCATGGAGCATCCATTATTCTAGGGGACACGAGTGCTAATCAAGTATATAAAAAGCACCTTGTAGTGTTGCAAACATATGACAGAAGACATGAGGTCCAAACTGAAATCTGAAGGATCATTAGGAATTAACTAGAGGAAAACTAGGAGTGGAAGTTGGGTAAAGAGTATTTCAGGCACAGGATTCTTCACAAGAGCAGTGGGATGTACTTGAAAGCTGTTGAGCATGTGACATGACATGATCAGTGGTGCATTTTGTAGAGATGAAGCTGAATACAATGTGGGGACGGGGAGAGAATATTCCAGTAACATGTGTAAGGAGAGCAGAGGGAGGCTCTTGCTGTGGTCCCCCATAAGGTGGCCCAATATTTTAGACTTTCGGTGGGATAGGGAGCTGGAGAGATGTAAACAGTCAAGAGAAATTTAGAAAGTATGCTCCTACAGAAATACATAACATTGGTTTGGCTGTTAAAGTAAACTTATTTTTCTAGAATGATCAGGGCAAGGAGGTTTTTTTTTTTAATTTTTATTATTTATTTATTTATTTATTTTGGTAATGGAGGTTAAACCCAGGGGTGCTCCACCACTGAGCTATATACCCCAGCTCGTTTATATTTTTGTTTTTAAACAGGATCTCACTAAATTGCTAAGGCTGGTTTCTAACTTGAGATCCTCCTGCCTCAGCCTCCTGAGTTGCTGGGATTATAGGTATGCACCACCTTGGCCTGCAGGATTGTCTTGTTAATGTAATGTTATCGACAATGGATGTCTAACATTGTAAGACTCCACAATGGCTAAAAATTTAGAATGTGCCTCCAAATTCTGAAAACAAAGACAATGCTAAACAAGTTTTAATCTCTGTCAGACACAGTGTGTAGCTAAGCATCTAAAATTCAGCAGGGTTCCTTATTGTCAGTGCTATGTGATACCGGGCATTGACAGAGGTGGGACCTCGGGGCTCCTTGTTAGAGATGAGTCCTCTGTGATACTGGAGCACATCTGTCAGGGGAATGGCTTTTGATAGGTTTCTTTGCACGTATACCTCTCCAAAAATTTGTTCAAACATGTTTATACAACCATTTATCTTTTAGGATTCTTGTGTGCAGATACACGAGTGTGTGCAAACACACTTACATGTATAATTATATAAGCACTCACATTACTGTATAGTTTATTAAACTTACATGTTTTATTTTACTTTTTTTAAAGTTTCATACATATTTGTATCTTTATATATACTTACAGACAGCCACATAATAAAATTAAGAAAAATCATGTGAAATGAATATCAGAAAATTATTATAATCTGTGTGGCCATAACTAAAATTTTACTTGAATGAACAAGTGAATTTACTAATTGAATCAAAGCTGAAACCAAGTTTATTGTTTTTTAATTTTTCATGGTGTATTATTTTGTTCTTTTTATGTTATCTATTTCACTTAATTATTTGTATAATAGTCATTCTGTTGCCTTTTTCCTAAAAGTAAAAGATAAATAAGCCTTCCCTTAACACAATGCAATTATATACCTACCTGACTTGCTATTTTGGATCTTCCCAGATTAAGACTGGTGGAACCTCGTGTTAAAATTTTTAATTTTTTCTAAAATATACAACTTCAGAAAATTGTAGACAAATAGTTATGCAAAAAGGACAAATATTTGATATAAGTAGATGATACTTTTCATTGAATTATACTTTAATAATTCATCTTAAATAAAAGGCAGTTCCCTGGTCACTAAGAAGATCTTGGCCAGCAGGAATCCTGTTGGACATTGGTCTCTTGGCCATATCCAATGCATTTGCAGAATTGAGCTCTTGCCCTAACATGCAGCCTGTGTGACAGCTGCTTGTTATACAGGTGATGAACTCTTATCTCACACTGTACTATGAATTCATCAACCGTACAAAAGTATTTGACATCAGCAATTAGATTAGGTTTCTCCAGTATATAGGGAAGATTAGCTTATCTGAGATGTTCATCAGGATGTCAGTCTAGCTCCATATCAAGAGCTTGATCATCAATTTCCCTTTTCCAGAAATGGGAAATGATATTAATAGCTCAGGCACAACCAGAATATCTGAAAGCATAGAAAGATAAAACAGTTTTGCACGTAGACGCTGCTATGGAGAACACAGGAATATTGTCAGTCTACACAGAGATAATGTTTGTCATTACTAATTATTTTGATGACCCAGAGAAACAAAAATAATATGTATTCATATAGTGCATGGGGTTTACCAAACACTTTCAAAAAACATCTGTGATTTTATTCCTTCTTGCAAATTTGAAAAATGGGTGCCTAAGAAAAAAAATGTTGTCACCATTTTATAAAGGAACAGGCTCAGATGAGTTAATGACTTTCCCAAGATCAATTTGAGTCTGATGGTGATATATTTCAACTATAGCATATATGAAAATGAAAATAACACAT